ATTTGTCTTTTTTTTCTCTTTGTCAGTCATGGGGCTTGAACTCTTGGCTTGGGTGCTGTCCCAAGTTTTCAGCTCAAGGCTAGCGCTCTGCCACTTGAGCCACAGCACCACTTCCGGTTTTCTGGTGGTTAATTGGAGATAAGAGTCTTATGGACTTTCCTGCCCGGGCTGAATTTGAACCTCGATCCTCAGATCTCAGCCTCCTGAGTAGCTAGGATTACAGGCGTGAGCCACTGGTGCTGGGCCATCACTTGTCTTTTTAAAATTTTGTTTTATTTATTTGTATGAGATGAAGTCTCTCTGTGTTGCCCAGGCTGGTCTTGAACTCCTGGGCTCAAGTGATCCTTCCTCATCAGCCTCCCCAGTAGCTGGGATTACTTTTTTCTTCTCTCTCTCTCTCTCTCTCTCTCTCTCTCTCTCTCTCTCTCCCAGTCCTGGAGGCCTGGGTGCTATCCCTGAGCCTCTTTGTGCTCAAGGCTAGTGCTCTACCACTTGAGCCACAGTACCACTTCTGGCTTTTTCTGAGTAATTTATTGGAGATTAAGAGTCCCATGGACCTTCCTGCCCAGGCTGGCTTCCTCAGATTTTAGCTTCCTGAGTAGCTAGGATTACGGGCATGAGCCTATGCCTGGTGATTACAGGCATTTAACACCATACCTGGCTTTCTTTTCATTTTCTTAATGATGTTTGATCAGCAGAAACTTTTTTATTTCTCCAGGCACCAGTGTCTCACATCTGTTACCCTAGCTACTCAAGAGGCTATCTTAAAGCCAGTGAGGGAAGACTAATAGGAGAGAGTCCTTTCTCCAATTAGTCAGTGAAATGTCAGAAGTGGAGATGTGGATCAAGTGGTAGAACACCATACTGGAGCAGAAAAGGCCAGGTGAGAGCATGAGATCCTGAGATCAAAGCCTCAGTTTACCAGCAAAAGAGAGAGAGAAAGAGAGCAGGGGAAGGGAAGGAAGAAGGGAGGGAAGAAACGAAGGAACGAAAGGAGGAATATTTTTAATTTCAATAAAACCAATGTATCAATGTTATCTGTTTTGAGTAATGCTTTTTTTTTACAAAGAACATTTTAATTATTTCTTTACACATAACTGAAAGTGATGCTATAGTGCATAAGTTATTTACAACTGTGCAGTAATGTGTTACAAAATAAATTATCTAGAAGGCAAAAGTACATTGTGAATGTATATAAAACTGTACAGCGTTTGCAGATACACTATAGGACTCTGTAGTGTTTCAAGTTACATTCTCAGAAAGAGAAACAAAACGCCCACGTGGATTTGACTCCTTAAAAACACTATTGGAGAATGTGTCCTGGCTGTGTCCCTCTTGGGTGGGCCCTGGCAGCCACCAGCATCCCAGTTTCCCAGCTTGCCCCAAGGACCTCCATGGGATAGCGTTCTCCTGCCCCTCCAACCTGGAGGTCACTGTGTAAGGTGGACTTTTGTGTTCCAAGAAACATTTGCCTATCCTGAAGTTGGAAATACATCTCCTATATTTTCCTCTAGAAATTCTAGACTTCTATGTTGAGGTCTACAGTCAGTGTTGAGTTAGTTTTTGTATATGGTATGAGGTATGAATCAAAGTTCATTTTTTTCCACATGGCTATCAACTCGTTACTTGAGAATATCAAGATTTTTTTTGCTGAAAACCTTTATTATATTGTACTAATCCTTTGTCAAAACTCACTTGAGGGTATATATGAGGCTCTAATTTTCTTTTTTTTTTTGTTGTGAAAATACTGTACAGAGGGTTACAATTACATGGGCAAGATAATGAGTACATTTCTTATCAAGCATTGTTGCCTCCTCCTTTGTTTCCCCTTCCCATCCCTTCCCATCTCCCACCCCCCTCCCACACCCCTCCCATCCCCACTCCACCCCCCCGCCCAGGCTCTAATTTTCTTATGATAGTAACATGCTGTCTTAAGGCAGAGGTGTTGAGAATGTATGTTCTATATTTTTTGGCAGCTAGAACTCAGGGTCTATTGCTACCATTCTACCACTTGGGCCATGCCTCCAGTCCTTTTTTGCTTTAGTTTATTTTCCAGATAGGGTCTTGCACTGTTTGCCCCAGGGAACCTCAGACTATGATCTTCCTACTTTCACCTTCTAACTACCTGGCATTACAGGTGTAAACCACCATGCTCATGTTTGCAAGTCTGACTTTTACTGGGGCTGACCTAGAGCTGAGATCCTCCCATCTCCAACTCTTACATAGTTAGGATTATATTCTTTTTCTGTTTTTTTTTTTTTTTAAAGAATGTTAAATTCCACTCTAGTAGGCAGTTAAAACTACTGGCATACCCTTTTGTTCCTGTCAGACTTGCTTTTAGTCTAACGATTTGAAGTAGACTAAACATCCTGTTTGAATCTTAGTGTGAACCACCATATTGTCTGGGCTGGAATTCCTTTATCTTTTAGCTCTGTGTGACTTCTTAATACCACCTTTTAGTTCTTAGCCTCATAGTGGGCAATCTCTACTAAGGCTAATGAAGTCTTGCCCTGTGCGTGTTGCCCACCCTGCCTTCAGCCAAGAGACTGCCCCATGCCGAGTAGGCCTCCTGCTCTGTCAGTTCAGGTCCCTTTCCTGACAAAGCCAGCCTTTTCTATAACACACAACTCCAGTCTGCCTGTTCAGGGACATGACATTCCTCTTTGCCTCCATCTCCATTTTCCACCATAAAGAAGTGCCCCCAGGATAACAGCCTGGACATTGATGACACTCACTGCCTAAGTGAGCTCTTGAGCATTTACTTTATTTGTCCAGCTCTGCAGTTGTGTATGGCAAGGGGGAGATCGTATTTCTAGTTATTCTGTCATGGCCTAAAGTGGAAGTTAGTTCATTTTGGGCATGTTTTTTGGATAGCTATGGAACATCTAAGTAGAGATGCCCAACAGACAATTGGGTATGTTCTTGTGGGGCATCAAAAGACACTTGAGGCTGGAAATTCAGGCTTTGTAGCCATGAATTTACAGTAGTAGTTAAAAAGCCAGAGAAGGGATGTGATTGCTCAGCTACAGAATAGGTAGAGAATGGTTAAAAAAAAAAAAAAACAGCATTTTTTTCTCAGATGCCTCTAGTGGCTGAGTGTGTGCTCATGCATGAGGCCTTGAGTTCAATCTCTGTTACCACCAAAATAATAAGACAAAGAACATTTCTCTCTTTAAAAGATTGAAAAAGTATAGCTTAAAAAAGAAGTCCAGGCACAGGGGTATACACCTGTGATCCCAGCACTCAGGAGACCAAGTCTGGCCTCCCGTACAGCAGAGGACTGATTAAAATCTCACTTGGATGCCTATTACAACAACAAAAAAATACCCGGTACCTGAGAGAGCGTCTAGCAAGCCCCAGGCCCTGAGTTCAAGCCTAGTACCAAGAAAGGAAGAAGGAAGGAAGGAAGGAAGGAAGGTAGGAAGGAAGGAAGGAAGGAAGGAAGGAAGGAAGGAAGGAATCAGTCCATCTACTTGCCCAGTCTATATTACTAGTCTGTGAGTTAAAGCCACCTCAGTCTTGAGGAAGCTGAGCACATTCCAGATATGTAGCTTTCTTGGGCTTAGGTAATTGGTAAGTATGAACTCTGTTGGCATAAAACAGAGGAAAGCTAAAGCCCTGAAGAGGGTTAGAGTCCACTCTGTTTTTGTAGTTCTGTAGGGCTTCCGACTTAGAAGTTCTCTGGGGCATCTTACTCAACCTTCTTGTGTTTTAGGTTTGGGAAATTGATTATCTTAAATGACAGGGAGCTAGAGATGTTGCTTAGTGGTAGAGCATTGGCCTAGAATATATGAAGCCCTGAGTTTGGTCTTCAGCACTCCAGAAACTTAAATGAATTTTAACCAGGTATAGAGAACAGAAAATGTATGTAACCAGTTTATGCCAAAAGGAAGATTTATTATTATAAGACTACAGAGTTTGATAGTACTCAAAAGGCAAAGAGAAAGCTGAATGTAAGAGTAGACTAGGGCTTTGACCTGCTGAGAAACTGGGACACCACTTACTTGTTCCCTATTCTCTTATTCTGTGTGTCTGATTCAATCTTCTCCTAGTGTAAATCAGTTTCTGCTCTTCTCCCAGGGGAAAGTGATCACTATTAACTATTCCTGAGTTTATAGTTTTTGAAAGAAGCATTCATTCCCCATTATTCAGGAAGGAAGCCAGCCTGGTACTCGAATAGTACCAGGATAAGGTCTCCGTAGCCCACTGGAATCCATTGTAACCAATCACTTGCAGTCCATAGGTTGGAGTATCTGTTTTTTCAATGCACACAACTTCAGGAAGCCCTCCCTCTATATAAATCATGTGGTATAAATAGTTACTAGTGGGAATGCTATTTTCCAGAGACAACAAGGAGGCAGATGGCTGGGCAGCCAGCCTAGTAGATGTTTAGAAGCACTAGGATTACATCAGTGACAAGTAGCGAGCCAGAACTAAAACCCATGAACTCTTTCCGGGACTACCCCACTGGGGAACAGTAGCAGTTACTTATCTAGGAATGAGGAGAGACAGACACTCAGTTTGCGTTCATACTGATATGGTAATAGTCTCTAGGGAGTCAAGCACAATCAATCTAGACTCTAGAACCATCACAGCTAAAAGTGGGCTCAAAAGTGAGCTATGAATCCCTCCTGAGTAGATTCCACGACATCTAGAAGCATCAGAACTCAGTACTTCCAGAGCATATACACACAGGATCACTTTTTATCTTTTCATTTTTATCTCCCTTCTACTTGGCTCTCATATCAAAAGGTAGGAAACCTGGCTGCCAGGAGTTCTGGGATTCTATCCTTAGAGTATCTGACCAAAGAGAAAAGAGCCTTCCCTATTCATGCCAGGCAGAAAAATCTGAAAGTAGCTGATTGAGGGGATCGAGTGCTCTGATTGGTTGAGCCTTGTTTGTTTATTCATCTTTGGGATCAGGAGGTGGTGGGCATTTGTAGACAGGTGATGGTAAGCAAGCAGGATAGACAGAATCCTGTTTTGTGTCTTTCTCCCAGGAAACCATGGAGGCTGGCGGCCTCCCACTGGAGCTGTGGCGTATGATCTTAGCCTACCTGCACCTTCCTGACCTGGGCCGCTGCAGCCTGGTTTGCAGGGCCTGGTATGAACTGATTCTCAGTCTCGACAGTACTCGCTGGAGACAACTATGTCTGGGTTGCACCGAGTGCCGCCACCCCAACTGGCCTAACCAGCCTGATGTGGAGCCTGAGTCTTGGCGAGAAGCTTTCAAGCAGCATTACCTTGCCTCCAAGACCTGGACCAAGAATGCCCTGGATTTGGAATCCTCTGTCTGCTTTTCTCTGTTCCGTAGGAGAAAGGAGCGACGTACGCTCAGTGTTGGTCCAGGCCATGAGTTTGACAGCCTGGGTAGTGCCTTGGCCATGGCCAGCCTGTATGACCGAATTGTACTATTCCCGGGTGTGTACGAAGAACAAGGTGAAATCATCCTGAAGGTACCCGTGGAGATTGTGGGCCAGGGGAAGTTGGGTGAGGTGGCCCTACTAGCCAGCATTGACCAGCACTGCTCAACCACACGCCTGTGCAACCTGGTCTTCATGCCAGCCTGGTTCTCACCCATCATGTATAAGGTGAGTGTCCACCATCAAGAAAGTGCCTTCCAAGCCTGAGCCCAGGAGCTTGGCTTCTCTTCTTGGGTTCCCTTGTTTGGTGGGCATTGAGAGTTTAGTGGTTATTTCTATATACACACTCCTCTGAGGCAACGAGTTGAGAAATAGCCATAGGGATCAGTAGAGTTTGAAACTGCGCTTTACTCCTGTCAAAGCTGTGTTAATGCGTCAGTGGCTCACACCTGTAATCCTAGATATTCAGGAGGCTGAAGTCTGAGATCTGACTGTCCAAGCAGACAAATCTGAGAGACTCTTATCTCCAATTAACCAGTAAAAAGCTGGAAGTGGAGGTGTGGTTCAAGTGGTAGAGCCCCAGCTTGAGAGGAAAAAGCCCCAGAACTGGCAAAACAAAACCCTGTTTTAGCAAGTAAGTCATGGCGTTGGGGCCAAAATTATTAATACCTCTCTCCTCCCTAACTGGACTGACTGGAGCTATAGATAGTACATATCATTGGGGTCTAGGTTCTGGGAGCATGCAGCTCCCAGTAAAACACACTGGCTGCTGAAAGAGGTAACCAGGGAGACAGGAGGCTGTGCAAAGAAGTGTCTTCAGCATGTGAGCCCCACCCCATGTGGGTTTGAAGAAGACAAGTGTTCTTCTGAGATTAACTACTTCTCAGAGGTGCCTGGAGAGTGCATAAGGAAAGCCAGTCCTTTCATGAACACAGAGCAGATGTGTTCAGAAGTAAGCATGTAATCAAGGCATTGGTAGATCCTGACAGAAAAATCTAGAGCTTCTAATTGACCAGAAACTGACTGCAGTATTTGGACTATGTGCCTGTTCAGGAAAAATCACATTGCCACTATTACTTCCAATAACAACTTAGGTTTGCAACGAACATCTTACCACCAGTTATTTGTGATCACTTAATGTGTGCCAGGCATGTGCCTTACAGATGTTTTCTCATTATTTCTTTCTACCACTCACTGCCTGAGATGCGTAGTAGTAATGTCTGATGGTATAAGTGAGGAGAACAAGGCTCAATAAGAGCAAGTGATGTGTGTGTCAGGGTCTCAGATTTAGTAAGGTGTTTATAATCTAGATGGCTTCCCATCTGTGACCTCATTTGATCCCCTCAATGAACTTTAGTGAACAAAGTACAAGTGGAGTCCCTATTGTGCAGGTGAGGGGCACTAAGGGAGAGCAATGCTAAGTAACCTTTTCAGATAGGTAATTAGTGGTGTTAGAGCTCAAATTCAGGCCTTCTGATCTAAGCACTTAAAAATTACATCGTGCTGGTTTCCTCTGAAACTTAAAAGCCTGCATTTTATGTAGAATATGTATTAGAAGGATGAATGAGCTTTTTTTTTTCTTGCTACAGACCTAGGAGACTTCATTTCTCAAAAACAGAAAAGTATTCCAGACCCTTTATAATACATTTACTTAGAGTAATATGTGCATTTGAGTCTGCTTCCCCTCAAAAGCACAGCTGTAGCTCCTGAAGGGAGGGACCTGGCCTGAGGCATCTTTGTGACTCTCCATCTGGTGTAGTATTTGGCATATATTTGTGCTCAATCCACAACTGTCTTCTAACTTAAAAAGGCACATGGCCGTAGGATGACCTTGTGGGGGAAAGAAGGCCAGTGTAATTTCATAGCAGTTGTCAGTGATTTGGGAGGAAAATCCTAGCAGTGGCTCTGTATCTCCAGAGATCTGGCCTTTATCCTTAGACAGGATCAAGGAAAGAGAACATGGACTGAAGTGTCAGCAAGAAAAAGGTAGGTTAGCTATAAGGAAGAACTTAGGCCAAAAGGAGTGGAGCTTTAGGAAGAAGCTTTCAAGAGAACTCATAACTAGAGAATATTAAAAAAACTCTTCCAGGAATAAATGTGCTCAGATTATTAAATAGGATTGTAAGATGCTCATTTTATGGTTCAAGTGCATCTGATTGAATTTGTGTGGAATCTAGAAATTTTTTTTCAGGAATGTTGAGCAATTGGGTCATTCAAAGCTTGTCTTTCACTTAGGCTAAATCCAAGAGACCCAGATAAATTATGAATTTAGTGCTTCCCCATCCCCAGTCTCTTAGGAGCTCTCTGTTCCTTGTGTCTGTGACCTTGGAAATAATAGCTAACTTTGACTGAGTACAAACTTTATTCCTGGCACTACATTCTGTGCTTTTTCTTTTCTGGTGCCACTGGGATTTGAACTCAGAGCCTCTACTACTGAGCCGTTATCTCCAGCTCTACTTCCTATTGGTAATTTTTGAGATAGAGGTTTGTTTCCTGTCATTTATGGAATGACATGACAGTATGCTTCACTATATGTAGTTTCTCTGCACTGAGATGGAGTCTAAAGGGCTTTTCTGCCTGGGCTTGGGCTCTCACCAGTCTCAGCCTCCCATGGAGCTTAGGATGACAAGCACACCTCACTGTGCCCAGCAATGGACTAAAGAAGGGTCTTGCACTTTTCTGCCAGAACTGGCTTTGATCTGTGATCTTCCAGTCTCAGCCTTCCAAGTAGCTAGGATTTTAGACATGAGCCACTAGTGTCTATCTGAGTTTTATGCTTTATTAATTAGTAAACCTCATGCTGCAGACTAGGAAACTGAGGCTTAGATAGATGAGGTAATTTATACTGGAGAGTGCCCTTGAGAAGATAAAGGTCAAGTCTCTCCCATATGGTCCTCCCCAGAGCCTGTGCTCTTAACCACTGCTTAATGGCCATGGCAGCATCCCTCACCTCCTCTCTTCAGGATGCAGCCTGCTATCTTTTGCTGTGTCTCCACTGCATACCAGTAGTTGGATAGAGTGGACTCTCCCCATACCTTTAGGACTGCCTGTCGCCTCTTGGCTTAGCCTGTCTCCCCTATGCCTGCAATCACATTCTGCATGGGCCAGTCCGAGTTCAGGCAGCTAGCTCTGTGGTGGGCTGGGGCAGCAGGCTCCTGGAAGACACAGGACTGTGGGCCAAGAGAAAACATGCATAAAGTGAAAGCACTTTGCAAGGGTGAGAGCTAGAGACATTTCTGCACATGATTTAACCCGTTCTTGCTAGAACCCAGTGACTGAGTGGGGACATCACAGGCACGCGCGTATGCACGCGCGCACGCACACACACACACACACACACACAACCCTTTTGAAGGCTTGGTAAAATCCAGCTCATATCCCACCTAATTGTGTTTGTAAAAATCCGTAGCTCTTGTATGCATCTTTGATTAATTTGTCTCAGAGACTTACAAAGAGGTACAAAAACTAAATCCTCCTTTGTAACTGAGAACTCATTCAGTTTTGATACATGTAAGAAGGAATAAATAATTCTTCCAATAGTTTGAAGTGATGGGGTTGTTAATACCCATTCAGGTTGGCTCTAAGAATAAAGTTGATCATTTAAAAGCAAAAAAAAAAAGGAAAAGAAAAAAGAAAATCTGAAGTGTTCCCAACCACATGGCTTCCCCTGAGTGACTCCTGCTCCACCTCTTTCCTGTGTGAATGTGTGTCAGTTCCATTTCACCCAGCATCAGCTGCTATATCTCCTCCCACCCATGTTCTGGAAAGGAATGCATTGTCATCAAGCATTTCATAGCAGGTCAGGTAGCTCCCACTTCTCCCCAGTTCCTTTGGGCACCAGCTGACTCCCATACCCTGTGGAGTAGGGCAGAAAATCAGTGGAACATGTGAGCTTTCCTGCCCTGCCCTCCTTTAAGAGCAGCTTGAGTGCTGACAGCACACAAAGGTTAGCTCTCAGCCAAGTGCCAGTGGCTCATGCCTGTAATCCTTTCTACTTAGAAGGCTTAGATCTGAGGATCATGGTTCAGTGCCAGTCAGGGAAGGAAAATTCATGAGACTCTTATCTCCAATAAACTACCCAAAAAAGCCTGAAGTAGAGGTGTGGTAGAACACCAGCCTTGAACCAAAAAAAAAAAAAAAAGCTCAGGGACAGTGAATGAGTGCCCAAACCCTGAGTTCAAGTCTTAGGAGGTCATAAAAGAAAAAAATTACCTCTCTCATGGTGTCTTCTCTTCTTCCCAGACCACTTCAGGTCATGTCCAGTTTGACAACTGCAATTTTGAGAATGGACACATCCAAGTCCATGGCCCCGGGACCTGCCAGGTGAAGTTTTGCATCTTCAAAAACACCCACGTTTTCCTGCACAATGTGCCCTTGTGTGTCCTGGAAAATTGTGAATTTGTGGGCAGTGAAAACAACTCGGTGACAGTTGAGGGTCACCCATCAGCAGATAAGAACTGGGCCTATAAGTATCTGCTGGGGCTTGTCAGATCCTCTCCCAGCTTGATCCCCAAAGAGGACACGGACTTTTTAATGTCCCTGGACCTGGAGAGCCGCGACCAGGCCTGGAGCCCAAGGACTTGTGATATTGTCATTGAGGGCAGCCAAAGCCCCACCAGCCCAGCCTCCAGCTCCCCAAAGCCGAGCTCCAAGGCTAGTTCCCAGGAGGCTGAAGTGGGCAGCGATGCGGAAAGGGTGGCCCAGACCCCAGACAGCAGCGATGGAGGCCTGAGTCCCAGCGGTGAGGGTGAGGAGGAGGATGAAGAACAGCTCACGTACAGACTGTCCTACCAGGTACAGGGCCCACGTCCTGTCCTGGGAGGTTCCTTTTTAGGCCCACCACTGCCAGGAGCCTCCATTCAGCTACCCAGCTGCCTGGTGCTGAACTCACTGCAGCAGGAGCTACAGAAGGACAAGGAGGCCATGGCACTGGCCAGCTCCGTGCAGGGCTGCCTCATCCGCAAGTGCCTCTTCCGGGACGGGAAAGGAGGCGTCTTTGTCTGCTCCTATGGCCGGGCCAAGATGGAAGGAAACATCTTCCGCAACCTGACTTATGCAGTGCGGTGTATACATAACAGCAAGGTACTGTTCTAATCGTGGACATAATAGAAGACCCAGGCATCCCTGGGTCACCTGGAGCATGATGGTTAGCTGTTAAGAGGGCTCCTGAGATTTATAGATAGAGAGGGTGTCATAGGATGTTTTGGGTGTGTGTGTGTGTGTGTGTGTGTGTGTGTGTGTGTGTGTGTGTGTGTGTGTGTGTGTGTGTGTTGTTATAGTAGGGGTTGGAACCTAGGACCTGACACGTGCCTAGTAAGTGCTCTACCACTTGAACTAAGCCCCTCAAATCCTTTGTTTATATTTTGTTTGCTTAAGAGCCTTGCTAACTTTGCCCAGGCTTGTCTTCAGCTCTTGATCCTCCTGAGTAGCATTTTGCTTGTGTGTGTCTGTGTGTGTGTGTGTGTACTGATACTAGGGGCTTGAATTCAGAGCCTGGGTACTGTTCCTGAGCTTCTTTGCTCAAGGCTAGTGTTTTACCACTTGAGCCATTTCTGGCTTTTTTGGTGCTTAATTGGAGATGAGAGTCTTACAGATTTTCCTGCCTAGGCTGGTTTTGCACCACAATGCTCAAATCTCAGCCTCCTGAGTAGCAAGGATTATAGACTGGAGCTACTGGTGCCTGGCATTTTAAAAATAATTTTTAAAGCTTATTAACACTTTGCTTTATGTTCATCATCTGACTCGGACAGGATAGAAATTATTCTTCCCATTTCATAGAAAAGGAAACAGAGGCCCAAAGAGGGAAGGTATCTTACTCAGGGTCACACAGAAAGTTTGAGGGAGAATAGTGTTCTAGAGCTCAGGACTGTGTATTCACTATGCTGCTTCTCAGACATGCTGTGCATGTCCTAGTAGAAGAAATAAGACAAGATTCATGGAGACATGATCACTGTTTCACCTCAGGTTCAAGTGGTATAGCTGAGAAGGCTTTTGAGAAGAACTGCTGTCTGTGCTGAGTAAATAAGTAGAGGCCCAGGGAAAATGGGCCCTATGTGATGGAAAGGGGACCCACAATATATGCAGTGAGCCATTCCAGCAGCAGGAACGTCCTGTGCTGGGCTTGGTTGTAGTGCTGCTTTCACCTGTGTTAGTGGGGACAGGTTGAAAGATGAAGCAACAAAAAGTGAGCAGGTACTACCTCGCCCGGGGCCTGGAAAGGTGGACCTTATGTTAAGAGCAACCCAGAGATGTGATTAGCACCTTGGCTCTGGGCAGGCATTCTGGGTATGGCAAGACAAACTGCAATTCCACTAATGATTGGTACCAGGAAGGAGGGCTCTGAAGGGAAAGACAAGCCTTACAGAAGAGAGCTTGGCACAGCACTTTGGTTCTCTGTTGCTGTGAACATTACCTCTGCTTCTGGCAGAGGACGTGAGCATTCCTGTCTGGCCTTTTCTCACTGGGGCTGAGGGCCTGGTGCCATGGTGTTGGCAGAAGTATTCAGGAAACTAAAGGGCACGGTGCAGATGTCAAATGTGGATCTTACAGGCTTCTAGAATAGTTAGTAACAGTTACATTTTATTTCCATATTACCCAGCCCACTTCCAAAAGGGATTTTTAGGTAGTGTTACTCTTAAGATTGTGCTATAAACAGAAAAGAAAAGGTCAAATAAAAGGGTAATGGGCAGGGAAGGAAGGATACCCTGATGGAAGAATCTGCTTTAAGCCCTCAGGGACCACACTTTCCTCCTTGCATAATTATTTAGAATATGGCTTTTCAAGCCAGGCTCCAATGGTTCAGGCCTGTAATCCTAGCTACACAGGAGGCTGAGATCTGAGCATCATGTTCGAAGCCAGCTTGAGAAGGAAAATCCGTGAGACTCTTTTATCTCCAATAAACTACTCAGAAAAAGCCAGAAGTGGTGCTGTGGCTCTTGAGCAGAAGAAGCCCAATGACAGCACCCTGAGTTCAAGTCGCAGGACCACGAAAGGAAAAAAGAATAAAGAATATTTTCAGCCAGGCTTGGTAGAGCATGCCTGTAATCCTAGCACTTGAATGACAGGCCAGGAGGATGACAAGGTTGAACCCAGACTGAGTTACATAGTGAAATCCTGTCTCAAAAACAGGAAAAAAAAGAGAAGAAGAAGAAGAAAGAAGAAGGGCTAGGATTATAGCTCAGTGGTAAAGTGCTTGCCTAGAATACACAAGTCATAGCTTGATTCCCAAGCCTCCCTCCCCACCCCCTTCAAAAACAAACAAAAACAGCTAAAGAATTGGCCTTGGTTTCTTTTTTCTTTTTCTTTTTTTGTAAGTCATGGGGCTTGAACTCTGGGCCTGGGTGCTGTCCCTCAGTTCTTCAGCTCAAGGCTAGCACTGTACCACTCAAGCCACAGCACCACTCCAGCTTTTTCTGTTTATGTGGTGTTGAGGAATTGAACCCAGGGCTTCATGTAGGCAAGGCAAGCACTCTACCACTGAGCCACCTTCCCAGCCCGGCCTTGGTTTTTTAAGTGGAAGAATGATGGGAGGGAGAAGAGTTCCCGTGTGCTTGGTATTTGCCGGGACAGGTGAGCTTTAGAAAAGATCTATCCTAAGTGGAAGGGATAGATCTGAATCTGGATCCACTAAAAATAGCTGCATCTTTGATCCCCTGTGAAGTCTTCATGCAACCCCAGTGCATGAAGTTTAAGGTCCCCAGAACCCATTTCTGTAAGCATCCTTTCCATCCATCCTTCAGTTATGTGGCCTGGGCTCAGGGCCAAGCTTCAGTCTGGGTTTTGGTAAAGCCTCAACAGGAGACTGGTTGGTAATGAGCCCATAGGGTGCTCTGCCAGGCTGTGTGGAGAGACCCTGTGCTCTGGAGCACACAATGGGAAGGTAGATGCCACAGAGGTTCCCTTCTCACCTGTGGGTGAACTGGAGGTGAACTTTACCAGATGGTAAGGTCTCAAGTGTTCCCCCATTGGTTGCTAACAAAACCGTGACAGCAAAATAAATGACTTTCCCTTGTCCACTTAGATTGTCATGCTCAGGAACGACATTTATCGCTGTCGAGCGTCAGGCATTTTTCTTCGCTTGGAGGGAGGAGGCTTGATCGCAGGCAACAACATTTACCACAATGCGGAAGCTGGTGTTGACATTCGGAAACGGTCCAACCCACTCATTCTGGTACTTTTTCCTATCTTCTTTCCTTCTTCAGGATGGCTCCATTAAGGTTGCCATCTTGGGCTGGGAATGTGGCTTAGTGGTAGAGAGTTCTTGCCTAGCATGCATGAAGCCCTGGATTTGATTCCTAAGTACCACAAACAGAAAAGGCCAGAAGTGGGGCTGTGGTTCAAGTGGTAGAGCACTAGCCTTGAGCACAGAGAAGCTCAGGGATAGTTCTAGCCCTGAGTTCAAGCCCCAAGACTGGCAAAAAAAAAAAAGAAAAAAGAAAAAGGAAAGAAAGAAAGAAAAGAAAAAAAAGGCTGCCATCTTGAATTTATGTACTTCCAGTTTATAAGTGAATCTTGCCCTTTTTTGTGTCCTCATGACTTTCTCTTCCATACATTAATAATGACTGTGGGCAAGTCACTTTCTATGGTCTTCCCATTACTTCCTATGGTCTTCCCATCATTAAAGAGGAGGTGGACAGGGAAATTTCACAGGGCCCTCCTTCAGCCCTGATATGTGGTTGGTTTTAAGTACCATAAGAATCAACATACAGGGTTGAGTGCAGTGGCTCATGCTTGTAATCCCAGTTCCTTACGAGGCAGAAGAAAGAGTGAGTCTGAGATTTTTTCCCCTTGGAATTTGCCCCTAGCAAAAATGTGAAATCCTAACTTGTAGCACAAAGGGCTGGAAGTGTGGATCAAGTGGTAGACTGCCTGCTTAGCAAGTGTGAAATGCTGAGTTCAAACCCCAGTACTGCCCCAAAATAAAACAATAAAGACATGATGTCTTCCCTAAAAGACATTTGGTCTTAAAATCAAAATGAAACCCTACCTAGTTAGCCCATTCTTCCTATAAGGAGGACACACAGGGTATTTTGTCCTGAAGATTATTTGTCTCGTGGGCCTGTAAGGGTGTATTTAGCTTGCTGTTACACCAGTGTAAGCCTGCTTAAAAGCTTAAACTGTGTGACAGGGGGCATGAGAGACCACCATTTCCTCAGAGTCAGATTTCTAGAAATAGGGTAATTATAGGTCTTGGATAAAATAAGACCCTCCCCCAGTAAGCCAGATACTTTACGAAGCCCTTTGTACATGTTTACCTAATTATCCTTCACCCATGGGAAATAGGCAGTGACTGCCCCCATTTACAGGTACAGGTATTGGGAACAAAGAGGTTAAAAACCTTGCCCAACTCCATGTGGCTGGTGACACGTGGGATTTGAATGCAGATGGTCTGACTCAGGGTTGTTCTTCCTTGCCTGTCCTCTCTTGACTGGCCATGCAAATGTAGAGAAAGGAAAAGTTCCCAACTTAAAGAAAAAAGCCTCACCTACCCAGTGCCCTCTTCCATGCCAGGGAGCTGCAAGGCTATTGTCATTCCCCCATTTTCAGGAAGAGGAGGACAGCCATGTGACAGTGTGGTCCCCACAGTGTCCATCCTGGCCCAGGCATGTGGACAGTGATGGAGCCTTCTGCTTCTCACCAGCATGCCTGACCTGTCTTCCATAGTGTCTCACTTCTACTTGCAGTGTAACCAGATCCACCATGGCCTTCGTTCTGGCATTGTTGTCCTTGGCAATGGGAAAGGCATCATCAGAAACAACCAAATCTTTTCAAATAAAGAGGCTGGCATTTACATCCTGTACCATGGAAATCCAGTTGTAAGGTAGGTGCCCAGATTATCTGGCTGTGCCATGATCACTTCTCCTTGTTCTCATCTATTTCCCGGCTCTCTGTGTATGTTCCATTTGAAAATACGTTTGTTCACAGCTGTACAGATTTCAGCAGAGACCTCACACTCTAATTCCACCCTAATAACACAACTGCTCTGGTGCTTCTGCCTTCTTTTTGCATTACCTGTGTGTTGGCATTCTGTTCAGCAAACCACTGCGTACTCTTAACAGGGATGACAAAGGTACAGGGGTGGTCTCTGCTCTCTAGGAGCTTATTTTAGCCTGGAAGACATCCATGTGCAGAAATACCATAAGACAGGAGTAAAATCGGGATTTCCTCTCACATGCCAACCCCAGGCAGTTGAGAGTGGCCACCTGGAATGCTATGTTAAAATCCACATGCTTCCTCTGAAAACATGCTATGACTCAATAGTGATCTAAACTGTAGTGAGAAGAACAGTGTTCTCTATCTACCAGACCAGTTATGATATGGGACAGAGTGTGACAGACGCCATCAGGTGATGTCAGGAGAAGAAGATCATTCTGACTAGGAGGATATGGATGGGAAAGCTTTGTGTCTGAGGTGGATTTGAACTTTGAAATATGGGAAGCAAGCTGGGCACTGGTGGCTCATACCTGTAATCATAGCTACTCAGGAGGCTGAGATCTGAGGATTGCGGTTGAAAGCCAGCCTGGGCCGGAAAGTCCATGAGAGTCTTATCTCTAATTAACCACCGGAAAACCAGAAGTAGTACTGTGGCTCAAAGTAGTAGAATGCTAGACTTGAACAAAAGAGCTCAGGGACAGAGCGCAGGCACTGAGTTCAAGCCCAATGACCAACAACAACAAAAAACAAACATGGGAAGACTCAAACTCTCATGAAATTGGAGGTGGGCATTCCTAGGAAAAGAAATGACATGAGCAAACAAAGTAGAGCCCAGCAGATCCAGGAGTGAGCAGTCTACTGTGGCTTGAGGGGTGGGGGTAGAGGGGGAATAGAATATTTTTTTATTGAAACTGTCCCTGAAAGTCTTGGATTCTATGATGACTTTAAGATGACTTTTTATACCCATGTGGCAGCGTCTCTGCCATGCAGCATAATGGAAATGAAGGTAGAAAAGAAGGCTTGAGGCTGGGCACAGATTGCTTGCCCCTACAATCCTAGCTACTTAGGAAGCTGAAACCTGAGGATCACCATTCAAAACTAGCCCAACTAGACAAATTTGTGAGATTCTTATCTTGAATTAACTGGCAAAAAGCCAGAATTGGAGGGATAGATGATCAAGTGGCATCAGCCGTGAGTAAAAATGTTGAGCAAGATTGAGAGATCCTGAGTTCAAGTACAGGCATGGGCATACTCCTTCCACCCCCACACACATGGCCTTATGTCAGCCAAGCTGAGGACAGTGGAGTTGGTTCTGTTGAGATAATGGCGAATCTTTAATAAAGGTTTGAGCTGAAGCCTCACACAGTTGTGCCTGTCTTTAGGACCATAGCTGGCAATTAACCTGCAGTAAGCATGTTCTCAGGTGGTTTTCCTCTGCAGTAGTCCATAGAGTATTTTCCAAGTGGTTGCATGGCACTTGTATTTACCACTCTGGAAAGTTTCAGAATATTCTTCCATTTTGATACCTCACAGTTTTTTACCCTGTTCTGTTAGTACTAGGCAAATACTGTTCACTGTTAAAGATAACTTGTGGTCCTGGTGTCCCTTGCAAGTTCTGGAAAACCAACTTTGAGTGAAGACTATCAGCATCGGATCAGTGACATGGTCTTTCACATGTGGCTAGTCACTGTGAGAGAGGACAGGTTGTGCTTCCTTCCTTCTATGAGGCTTGTGACAAGAGGCAGCGGCCTCAGGGGAGGACACAAAAAAGTCTGAGAGTGGGCTAGGAATGTGGCTTAGTGGTAGAGTGCTTGCCTAGCATGCATGAAGCCCTGGGTTTGATTCCTTAATACCATATAAACAGAAAAGCCAGAAGTAGGGCCTGTGGTTCAACTGGTAGAGTGCTAGCCTTGAGCAAAAGAAGCTCAAGGACAGTATCCAGGCCCTGAGTTTAAGCCCCAGGGACTGGCCAAAAAGAAGGAGGAGGAAGAGGAAGAGGAGGAGGAGGAGGAAGAGGAGGAGGAGGAGGAGGAAGAGAAGGAGGAGGAAGAGGAGGAGGAGGAGGAAAGAAGGGGAAGTAGTAGTAATAGTAGTAGTAGTCATCTGAGGCTCCTGAGCCGCATGAATGAGGCAAACCCGATTTGCTGCTGGAGTTATAACTAATCACTCCTAAGCAAGCTTAGCACGGCCTCCTAGGATTTCTTCCTGCCACCAAGACTTACCTGTGACCATACACCATGGTAACATCTGTTTAAATGGTGTATATATAGGTAGATGACAGTAAGAGAAGCCACGGAGAGTCACGTCTCGTTATACTTACATCCCATAATTGAGAGTTTAGTTTTGGTCAAGCTGCCCCCGTAACTGCTAAGGATTTCTAAGTGCCTGGCTTATAGCACACTGGAACATGTGTTAGTCCTGGGGCATGATGATAGTCCTCTGGTCTCACCTTTATGTCGTGTCCTTCCATTTTAGTGGGAACCACATCTTTAAGGGCCGTGCAGCCGGCATAGCAGTGAACGAGAATGGCAAAGGCCTCATCACAGGTATGTTGAGAATTCCCTAGAGCCACAGCTAGCAGAAGATAACTGACAGCCACACCACCGTCCCCTCGGGTCGCTCCACCACCTTCTACCACTCCTTACCCAGCACATGCCTCCTTCTGTGACTAGGGACTGGTTCTCAGGGACATGGGCCACGTTTCCCATGAGGAGGGCCTAGCATAGTACAGAGGAGTGTCGGCCTTTACCAGGCCAGGTGCTGAGGCATCTCACTGGGTGGCTCACACCACTCCCTGAAGCACTGAGGCCTGATGACCTGTGTGAATCCTTCCTCTGGGCTGCTACTCGCTCTGGAAATCTGGTCATCCTTGAGGTATCAGCTTGAATGTTACCTCTTCAAAGAAGCCTTCCCTGGCTTCTTCTTATATCATATTCATTTGTTATACCCAAGACATCTTTATTATGGGACATTTTACTTAATCCCTTTCTTTCTGTTTGTTGTCAGTCTGGACTCAAGGCCTTGTGTTTGCTAGGCAGGCACTCTACCCTGTGAACTCCCTGCCCAATATTACTTTAGTGGTTTCTCAGGTATGGTTTCATGTTTGCACCCATGGCAAGCCTTAGACTTACTTATAGACCCTGCTTATTTAGCTGAGATTATAGGCCTGGCCCAAGGCAAGCCTTTCTCAGAAGATGACATGCAAGCCAGAACCTAAAAGATGGGATGAATCCTAAGAAAAGAACAGGGCCAACAGTGTGAGTAGACGGGCATGCTTGACTGGGGTAGCTGGTGGGACTACAGTATAGGGAGTTTGGAGCAAAGAACATGAGATAGCGTCACGGAGCAGGAAGGGGCCCAACACAAGGGTCTCAGAGTCATTGCGCCCAGGCCCAGGGGGCCGAGTACGCTCTGCCACAGTGTTGGAGATAGCAGTGCCAGGACCACCCTTCTGATCTGTGACTCTTAGCCCACTCTCGGGAAAGGAGAGGCTTCCCAGGAGAGAGGAGAGCAGGAAGGTCAGTCAGGGTAGCTTCCCAAGCTGTGGATAAACTTGTGGACTCTTCCTTGGGCTCTAAATGCCAGTTTTTTCTTACTCATCAATTTTAAGGCCACAAGATACTGGGGACATGGGAATGCATAAGACAGACACAAACCTTTCCTCCAGAGAAAGCAGATGAGGGTCTGAAACATCAGCCAGCAGACTTGCATCAGGATGCGAAGTGCCAGAAGCAGGAAGTATGGGCATCTTGTTCTGCGATGTCCTTTCTCCAAGCTGTCCAAATCCTGACAGTGCCGGAGGTAGCTTTGGTGTGCTGACCTTCTTTCTGCCTCTCCATAGAAAATGTCATCCGGGAGAATCAGTGGGGAGGTGTGGACATCCGCCGGGGAGCCATCCCGGTCCTCAGGAGCAACCTCATCTGCTTTGGCTACTCAGACGGTGTGGTTGTGGGAGATGAAGGCAAAGGACTGATAGAGGGGAACACCATCTATGGTGAGAAGCTGGTTCCAGGCGGGGAAGGGGTGCCAGGGGACAGGTCCTGTGGTCCAGCCCTACCTGTGAGGCAGGAAGCCTGGGTTCCATGCTAGCTTGTAGGTCCTGAGAAGGTCACCAACTTCTCTTTTTTTTTTTTTTTGTCGGTCGTGGGGCTTTGAACTCTGGGCCTGGGCGCTGTCCCTCAGCTCTTCAGCTCAAGGCGAGCGCTCTACCACTTGAGCTACAGCGCCACTTCCAGTCACCAACTTCTCTAGGCCTCAGACACTTCATGAGAAGAGGTGGAGTTGTTGCAAACCCTCTCACCATGAAGACCCCCCTCATCACCTCATGATCCACACTGAGCTCACTCAGCACAGCAGAGCTTTATCCCCCCCCCCCAAGGAAAATAACAAAAGGCAGAAGTGTTGCAGTTAAATTCTAACACATAAGCATCCAATTCCTCCTCCTTTCCTCATCCAACAGAAGGGTTATCTATTCCTCATCCTCATACATCCCATCTGGATGTATATATTTGGGACAAAGCCATGATCTTTCCAGATTAAGTTTCCAATAATAATTATAGACAGTTTATCCAGGCCTACCTCTGCTAGGTTCTTCCTATGCATTGTCACATTTAATCCTCATGACTGCCTTCAGAAGGTACAAAGGTACATTTAATCTCAATAGAAAGGTGGGGAAACTGAGGCACAGATCCTGGATAACCTGCTGTAGGTCCCAGCTGGAGAGTGGTAGGGTATCCTCCTGCAGAGTGGTGTTGGCACACCTTTGACCCTTTCGCTATGAGCCTGTGTGCTTCTGATCCAAAAGTGTGGCTTGACAGCTCTCACAGCTTGTGAGATTGGCCTGCTTGTTGACATCCCTCCCATATGAAGAAGAAGCCCACAGCTACCGCTACGACTTCACTTGTCCCAGTCCCTTTTGCATCCCCTCTCAGGGTGACCCTGGGTGCTGCCTCAGCCGTGGCTGGGTGTCAGTGACCCGCTCTGTTCACTGTCCCAGCTAACAAGGGCTGTGGTGTTTGGATGATGTCATCCAGCCTACCCCACGTCACCAGCAATCACGTGAGCTACAATGGCCTGTATGGAGTGGCTGTGTTCAGCCAGAAGGACGGCATCAGTGAGTTTCCTGGAGGCCATGGGGCCCAGGAGAACTTCAGTGAGGACGGGGATGCCATCCTCTGGGAGACAGAGCTGGAGAAGGAGGACGACCCACTGTGCCGGCCCATCACCATTGCTCTGGTGGAGTCTAACAGTATTAATCACAATGGAGGTGAGTGTATCAGCCCCTGCTGACAAACCTTGAGGGGTCCTCCCTGTCTTAGATTGCAGACTGGTCTCAGCTTGGTCCTCCAGCCTCTCAGCTACTTCTTATCTGCTACCCACGCTCCTTGACTTCCTCTCTAAGCTTTTTCTTACCTATTTTACTCATGCTTAAAATTCCTCCCATCCACACATCTCAAGGTAACTTGAACTTCCTGACCATCTGTGAATGCCTCTATCCTTTCCTTCTTTGAATTGTGGCCTCTCCCCATTCTCAGTGATATGTTTTATGGGGAGCAGAGTCATTTACTAATGAAGAAAGAAATCACTTTCTGGGCCCTGGGCAGCTCTTTCTTCTGGGATTGGCAGAAGGCAGGGAAATTCTAGTCATCAGCTCCAGCCTACCTCTACGGGAAATGAGGTCCATCCCCTCCTAGTTCTAGGTTTCCTCCATATAGCTGGGCTGTTAGGGTAGGACAGGCAAAACACACTCAGCCACACTGGGGAAGCAGCAGACAGGTATCACACTGAGATTTGAACTTGCAGACTCCTGGTGTAAACTACTTCCATAGTCCTTGTCTTCCACACTGTCCCCTCCCAGTACTGCCCCAGTCCTGTTTCTGTGGAAGGCCGACATAAAAGCTGCAGAGCCATTCTTCTCCAGGCCCTCCTCATCTCCCTCCCCACCCAGGTCTAGTTACCCTGATGAGTCAGGGGCCCTTGTAATAACTGCTTTATTCCACGCAGACATAGTTGCAAAGCATCTGTTTACACTTTTTAGATTATGTATTGCTTCATATGATAGGAAATGATAGGATTTCCCTTATGAAGAAAACTTTCCAAAATAATGAGACAGGTTCCAGATCCATATGGGGAAAAAAACTAAGACAGACACCTGTCTAACAGGCAGAGCCTGCAGGAGGTAATGAGCTGCTCATCACAGGAGGCACAAACAGTAGATAGGTGGTAGGGGACATTTCAGTGGGGTTGAGAGCCTAGGACAGGCCATTGAAGCCAAGGAATCTTCTCCCAGCCTGTGCCCCTGACCACCTTTGGTGAGGACGTCCTAGTGCAGCAGAAAGTTCTCGATGCCCCCTGGCTTCCTACTTTCTGTCATCAGCCTGGAAGATGACATCCAAGGCTGATCTGCAGGTCACTGCCTCTTCCTCCTGGTCTCTGTCCTGTGATATAGCATCCAAAGAAGGCTGTTCCTGACTCCTGTTGTCAGGGCTGACCTTGTGATCACCCCCTCTGCCTGTAGCCTCGGGACTCTATGTCCAAAGCAGTGAGGTGCTGCACGTCATCTCCAATGTGATCCATGCTAATGGGGACAGAGGCATCTCTGTGGCCCAGAGTGGCCAGCTCACCCGAGTGGCCAACAACAGCATCTCCTGCAACCGCCAGAGTGGAGTCAAGGTGGAGACCCAGTGCAAGGTGGAGCTCCGGGGCAATGGCATCTATGACAACAGGGGCCATGGAATCATCACCAAGGGCGAGAGCACTGTTGTCGTTGAAAATGACATCATTGGCAACCGCGGCAGTGGGCTGCAGTTGCTGCCCAGATCTGACACTAAGGTAAGTGTGCATGTGTGTGACCTAGGGTGGCAGCAGAGGCCCAGCCCTGGCCCAGGCCCTCTGCTGAAGATCAGCGCCATCAGTTCTGTTTTTGTTTTTTTTTTTTTTGGGTCCAGTCATAGGGCCTGAACTCTGGGCCTGGGCGCTGTCCTTCAGCTCTTCAGCTCAAGGCTAGCGCTTTACCACTTGAGCCACAGCGCCACTTCTGGCTTTTTTCTTTTTGCTTATGTGGTGCTGAGGAATCGAACCCAGGGCCTCAGGCATGCAAAGCAAGCGCTCTACCACTGAGCCAACTTCCCAGCCCTGCCATCAGTTCTGAGTACTGCATGGAACACCATTCCTCCTGCCAGAACCCAGCCTGGGAAATGTGGTTGGGCTTCACCTAGGAGAGGACATGTAAACAGGGTCTTAAAGGATGAATAGGAGTTCAGCAGCAGCATGCTAGGAATTGAGGATGTCAGTCACCTCCTAGATTTCATGGTGTTGGGAGCCTCTTAGGGTGTCTTCATGGTGTATCCAAAGTGGGGAGAGGACTCTTGCCACAGGGCTTCTGCACATACTACCCCCTATCTATCCAGAGTCCTCCCTGCTCCTGTGCTACTTCATACAGCTGGACTAGTTGCATTCAGGAAGATTTCCTGATTGCCCTGAGCTGTCCGAGGTGCTGCTGCTTTTCTGCATTTGGATGTGCTTGTGTCCACCCTGCCTGATGAGTACCTCCATGCGTTCTTCACCTGTATGTCTCCCCCACAGAATGTGAGCTCAGAGCATCTTTTTTGCAACGCCAGTGTACTGGGTGCTAGGGTTTCAGTGCTGAGCCAAATAATACAGTTTCCCACCCCCTTGTGGAATTGTGAAGCTTACGAGCTCTTTCTAGCTCTAGAGCATCAAATTCCACCAACTTGGGCAAGGAGAAAAGAGGCCCATACTTTGCATCTGAACCCCAGAGGAGCAGAAGGGGGCACGCTGTGGCTTCTTTGGGCTTTCAGGGGCCTTGACTTCTGGCATCTGGCTTTTCCATATTGTTCCTTCTTCCTGGAAAAACTAACCCATGTTGAACTGCTACAGCTTGCCCACCACTTCCTGGCTCTGCCAGGCTGCTCTTGGTAACCTATATTGAGATTCTCTGGATCTGTGCTGACCTCCCAGCCTCAATTCACTTGTCTGGCCCCTGACTCATCTGTAGGTTCCTGAGGTATAACAAATTCTGCCTGCTTCTCCTAGGTAATAAAGAACCGAATCCATTCATTCCGGGCCTACGGCATCGCAGTGCGGGGCCGTGCCAAGGCCTTGGTGCAAGAGAACATTATCTTCCAGGGCAAGAACAACAAGACCATCTTTCAGCAGATCACAAACAACCGAGAATGCATCATGCAAAACAACAAGTTCCTGGTCTTCAAGAAAAAGTACGTTTCTGTGGTTGCCTGAACCAGATTTTGAAAACCAGTGAGGTCACTGGGAAGCCAGCTGAGGCTGACAGATTGCAGCTTCTGGCATGCCCACCACAGTCCTACCAGCTTTCCCTTTGTGTCAGGCCAAGTCTGGGTGGGGACTTGTGCCTGACTTCTTGTGAGGAAAAGAATCAAGGATGATCCAGGCACCCGTGGCTCATGCCTGTATTTGTAGCTACTCAAGAGGCTGAAATCTGAGGATTGCAGTTCAAAGCCAGCCCAGGCAGGAAAGTCCGTGAGACTCTTATCTCCAAAAACTGGAAGTAGAGCTGTGGCTCAAAATGGTAGAGTGCTAGCCTTGAGCACAAGAGTTCAGGGACAGTACCCAGGCCCTGAATTCAAGCCCCACAACCAACAACAACAACAAAAAAGAATCAAGGATAGGTACTTTCACATCTCAGCTCTGTCATTAGCTATGTGATTGTGGGCAAGATATATAACATCTTTGAGCCTTACTTAGTAAACTTTCTTCAAAAGAACTAAAGTTGCACTTGGCTCATTGAACAATATAGACTTGGACATAGCTTTGTGAACGCAAGAGGAACCCCTCTTAAAAGATTGCCCAGGGATGACATGGGAATGTGCTACAAATGCAGTTGTAGAAAATTATTTTTTTAAACGTTTAATTACTGGATACCAGTGGCTCATGCCTGTTCTAGCTACTTAGGAGGCTGAGATCTGAGGATCACAGTTTGAAGCCAGCCTGAGTTCAAATAGATCACCAAGAAGCTCAGTCGAGCTCTGGCTCAAGTGGTAGAGTACTAACCTTCAGCATAGAAGCTTAAGGACAGTGCCCAGGCCCTGAGTTCAAGTCCCAAGACTGGTGCGTGTGTGTGTGTGTGTGTGTGCGCACACACACACACAATTTAATCAGAGAATCATCTTTTTAACGTCTCAAAAAAGTGATAGTCATAATACAGTGATCCCTCACCTATGACGAGAGTTATATTCCAAAGACTGCTACGATAGGTGAAAATCTGAGAAGTAGCAGCCTTAGTCATCCCTCACTCATAGTTCACTTATTGGGGGGGGTTCTCTACAATGTAGCTCCCGAGATAGGTGAGGCGTCACTATTTATGTATTTTTTCAAAAACCCATGATACTGTGAAGCTGTAATAAGTGAACCACGATATAGCAGGGGACAACTGTAAATCAAAATGTGCAGTGACGTGTACTTGAAATAACAAAGGTTTGAGTCAAGGTTCTGTTGTTTTGTTTCAGTATCTGTAGAATGAGGAGACTGGACTCAGAAGGAAGCAATTTAAACTATTAACTCCATTTATCAGGATTCTAAGCATAAGTACCAGTAGGAACAACTCAATTTAACTGAGCTGAAATGAAACATGCTTTCATGAACAGTGGCCTCACATATTCAGCCTTTTGATTGGTCACTTGGGGATACCCGGGGCTGTGGTCAAAGGTTGTATTTGGCACCTCCTCCCCACTGACCTCCCCTACTCAGGTCTGGTCCTTACCCTCTACCTGCAGTACCAGCAGAGCTGTTTTAACTGTTTTCATTGGTCAGTGCCTTGCTCTACTGCTGTAAAGTAGTGACTATTACTGTCATGTCTCATCTGCAGTATTGTTAAGAGTCTGTTCCCTGATGGATCTCCCTGCCCTTGCTGCCCCTAATCCTGCCAAGCTGACCTTCCTAAAAGAGAGCTCCAGGGCCATTCCATTCAAAAGCAAATATCTTTGCTGGCTCCCCATTCTTTGTCTTTTTCTAGTGGTATGAGAATTAGACCACAGAGCCTTATACTTGCTATGCAAGTGTTCTACCACTTGAGCCACATACCAGTCCTGGATCCCATTTTCTAGTAATGATTGTCACACTGTATTTACATACTCATGTAGATAGGTTTAGACATACCTCATATAGGTATGTTCTATTATTCCTTAAGTTATTTGTAGTATTCTCCTGGTATACCATTTACATTATGAACTGTACTCAAAATAGGAATCTTAAAATATTAAAAAACTAAATGGAACTGGGTGCTAGTAGCCTGTGCCTGTTATCCTAGCTCTGCAGGAGGCTGAGATCTGAGGATCAGTTTAAAGCCAGCCTGGGCAGGACAGTCCAGGAGACTCTTATCTCCCATTAACTACCAAGAAGCTGAAAGTGGAGCTGTCTCAAGTGATAAGAACACTAGCCTTGAGCAAAAAAGATCAGGAACAGCTCCCAGGTAGTCCCTAGCACTGGAGAGCGCGATAGACAGACACATCCACACACACACACCAACTAAAGGGAAATTCTAAATTTCCTTCTATTGTTGAGTAGTTTTTATGTATAGAGGAGGGCAGTTTATCCATTCATCAACTGGGCATTTAGGTAGTTTCTAAGTTTCTCACACCCCAGCTCTCTGGGCTGTCACGACCCTGGGAGACAAAGCCACCTAGATTGGAACTCTAGGACCCAGTGAGTATAAGGCAAAGATGATTGCGGGGAACTCAGGTGCTCTTGATCTCCAATTTTACAGCCTCCTCCTTGCACCCACAGGTCTGATACATGGCGCCTGGTGAACCCCCCAGCACGGCCTCATCTTGAAAACTCTCTCAGGGGCCCTTCTGCAGCCCACGGTGGGCAGAAGGTGGCGGCCATGGCAACCAGGATCACAGCCCGTGTGGAAGGTGGATACCACAGCAACCGTAGCATCTTCTGCACCATCCTGTAGGGTTGGAGACCCAACAAAGGCCCTCAGACTGGAAGTAGTGCCTGAGAAGACTTGTAGGCCCTCCCCTCTTAATCACCGCCACCTCCCCCCCCTGGAAAAGCAGGCCAACGTATCTCTAGACCCTTCAGATCGACCAGCCTCAGCAGGAATGAACTTGGAAGCACTTTCCAAGGAGAAAAAGGAACGGAAGTTAGAGGTTTCTCATCACGCAGCATTTAGAGATTATGAAGAGTTGGGAAAGCACCCTGAAGCTTTTATTGAGGTCAGGATTCTTCAGTTACAGGAAACCTTGCTTTATACACACCAAACCAGGGAAACACAGGTGGACTTCAGATTCTGGACCCAACCCTCTTTGGTTCCCTCCCGGGGTTGCACAGCCTCTTAACTGCCTCTGGAAGCCATGGCTGCATTTGGCTCACTGAACGATATAGACTTGGACATAGCTTTGTGAGCGGAAGAGGAGCCCCTCTTAAAAGGCTGCCCAGGGATGACATGGGAACGTGCTACAAACTGGCAGGTGACAAGATGGCTTTCTTCAGGTATGTAGACAGGTGCTAGCTTGGAAATGCAAGAAGCTCGGGACATTAGCTCCATGTTTGCCACAGGGTCCCCTGTGAGCACACACAGCGGCTGTCCCTCCTGGCTCGTTTGTCCAGATGAAGGTGCCTGGGTCTTCAGCTGTCCACATCCTTATGGGTGACCACCTGCCTTTACTCACCCCATCATGTTGCCTATTCTGTGCCTTGGCTCAGCTTACCCTATCCTGGCATGCCCTTCCCTGCCATCTCCTGGTGTGCAGGCGATAGCTCAGACACTGCCATCTCTACCTGGTTCTCCCCCTTGCTCCCAAGGGCCATGTCTCCTCCTCTGAACCTCAGCAGCCCTTCCTCTGTTCCCTCAGGGCACTGAGCACTTTCTGCCTTGTTTCAAAACTATTTGGGTCCATACCCAGCCCCACCCACTTGTCTGTGAACTCTGAAGGTAGGGCCATATCTGACTGTGTCCCTAAGTCCCAGGCCAGAGCTGAGTTAAGGTTAGTGGCCTGAGTGAGGCACCCAGCTCCCAAAGGACTTTACTAACCTGTACTGTGAATGTTCCAGAAGCAGGTGGGCTTGGACCCTACTGCCTAAGGGGGCTGGATGCAGGGCCAGCTCTGCCTCAATCATCTCCCTCCTGCTCAGCCTTTAATGCAGGGCCTTCCTCAGCCTGTTGGGGTCACTGTCCTATCCTGGTCCTGATGGCTTCCCAGGCTGGTTCTGCCAGGCCCTCGGTGCTGCTGTGTTGGGTGGGTGGGAGCGCAGGAACCAGGAACACTGGCTTCTCCCTGAAGACTCTGGACACGAGCACTGGTCCCTCCATCCCCAGCACTGTCCTTTGCACTTGGTGGCCCCAATGTGAGTCGCTGTATAAAATGCTGCCTTTGTTATTTTGTAAAAAATGACTTTTCTGTGAACCAGGTACTTATGAACATCTCAATAACCAAAATAAAGTTCTATATTCTTTATTTTTAAAAAAAGGTACTTTTAATGGGTGTCTTTTTTTTGGTCTGGGCATTTCCTGATCAGATGCAGGGGCCTGGCTACTGTCTCCTCTGTAAGGGACGGGAAAATCCCAGGGGCCTCTTGTCAAGCCCTGGCTCTAATTCATGATATGGGTTACATCTCTCAGAGGCTGTGTCTGTCACTCTAGTCCTCCCTGTCTCATCTCTGTGACGACCAGCAGTAACAGTTCCTCCTCAGCGTATCTATACATCTTCCCAACTAGTTACTCAGTGGCTTATAGCTTTTGCTAATCTATAGTGTCTTGGAGAAGCTAGTAGTTAATACCATTTGTTTTTGGTGTGTGTGGGGGGTATGTTTACTTTGTTGGGTTTTGTTTTTTCTACAATGCTGCAGATCAGACCCAGCTTTCATGAGCACTCTACATAAGCCACATTCCCGTCAGTAAGCTGTCTCTGAAGAAATCTTCATAGAAAATTGGTTTAGCTCTCTGCAGCCTGCTCCTGAGCCGAGGACGCTTGCCTTCCTTTGACCCTTTCATCTGGGCAAGAGTCTTTTGGGAGCTATTCCAAATTTCTTATATATCTTCCACATCATGTCTGGAGTTATATTTTCCACTATGTATCTATTTTTTTTTCCACTACTAGAATTTAAAATGACCTTGTACTTACTTGAACTGCTTGCTCAGCTGGTGTTCTACCATTTGAGCCATGTCTCCAATTTAGCTTTTTACTGGTTGTTTTGTTTTTTCTGCCCAGGTTAGCTTTGAACCATAATCCTCCAAATCTCCAGAATTAGGACTACTGCTTATTACCAAGCTACCAGCACCCAGCAAAAGTACTTTTTTTTTGGTTGTGGGGCTTGAACTTGGAGCTTGGGCTCTGTCTCTGAGCTCTTTCACTCAAGGCTAGCATTCTACTTTGAGCCACAGTGCCACTTTCCATTTTCTGGTGGTTAACTGGAGATTAGAGTCTCATGAACTTTCTTGCCTGGGCTTGCTTTGAACTGCAATCCTTAGATCTCAGCCTCCTGAGTAGCTAGGATTATAGGCATAAGCCACCAATGCCTGGCTTCTGTGATGTTTTGAACCAAGATTTGCTGCCAGGATACATATGCATTAAACCCTTAGCTCACAGAATCAATCAGGAACAAGCCATTATTCACAGCTGCCTTCAGGAATGAGACATTTCATTGTCAAGACATTCTGGCAAGGCTTGTATCCAAATAGCAGGTAAAGACACTGGGTAAGATCAATGTTTTCCACACTATATTCATCTCTGGTCCTCTCCACTAGGCTGATCTCTACCCTTTTCTGTGGCCTCAGCCAGATAGAAAAACTGGGATGATCACTGCCTGATCTAGCACCACTTCATTACAGCAAACTAGAACATTGGCTATTTGGCAACGCCAGTTAAATGGCAGTCCACAGCTCCTTGTAAAGCTGGAAGCTACCTTGCTATGATAAACCTTCATCTGTTAGGTTTCATTTAGATATCAGCTTGGGGGACCTTTTGCCTTGAGTTCCCCAGACCCCATCTTTCAAATCTCCACACATGAGCCAATGTGAGAACTGCCATTCACAATTGTGTCAATACCAAAGGAGGGAGATAAAGTCCAATCTGAACATCACTTTATACTTCTGCATACGGAGGTGTGTCTGGAGTGCTGACATCTGGCTTGATATCCATGTCAAAGCTAGGCTTTTTTTTTTCTTTTTGAGACAGTCTTATTATACATCTCAGGCTGGTCTCAAACTTATGATTCTCCTGCCTTAACTCTTCCACACATCAGGATTACAGGCACCCATCACCATGCCTGTCCTTTTTCCCCTTTAAAAATTTAAGTGGAGCCAGGCGCTGATGGCTCATGCCTGTAATCCTAGCTACTCAGGAGGCTGAGATCTGAGGATGGTGGTTCAAAGCCAGCCCGGGCAGGAAAGTCCGTGAGACTCTTATCTCCAATAAACCACTAGAAAACCGGAAGTGGCGCTGTGGCTCAAGTGGTAGAGTGCTCACCTTGAGCTGAAGAGCTGAGGGACAGCGCCCAGGCTCAGAGTTCAAGCCCCATGACCGACAAAAAAAAAAAAAATGTAAGTGGAATGGGAGCAATGCATGGTGATACATATCTGTAATCTAGCTACTATAATCTCACCAGGGGAGGACTAAGGTTTGAGACTGGCTTAGACAAAAAACAAGACACTATGTCAAACAAACAAGCTGGGTATAGTATTTTACAAACCCAGCTACGTGGTAAGTACACACAGGGGAACCACAGTCCGCGGCCACCCCTCAGCAAAAAGCATGAGACTCTATCTTAACAAAAAAGGGCTGGAGGCTAGTTCAAATAGTACAGTGCTTGCAAGGAGCACGAAACACTGCATTAGAACCCCAGTACTAAAAAAAATATAAAAATAGAAGGAGCCCAGTGCCAGTGGCTCATGCCTGTAATCCTAGCTATTCAGGAAGCCGAGTGAGATTTGAGGATTCAAAGCAAGCCAGCCCAAGCAAGAACGTCTGTGAGACTCATCTCCAATTAACCACCAAAATGCCAGAAGTGTGGTGGAGGCTGAAGTGGTAGAGTGCTAGCCTTGAATAAAAAGCTCAGGAAGAGCACTTAGGCCCTGAGTCCTCAGCACCAGCACAAAATAAAAATCGAAATGAGCTAAGCGGCTATAAGGTGGTCAAATGCTTCACCCAGAAAGTACACATCTAGATAACTTTCTTCCTCTTTGACTGGTGTTCCAAAAAATAGGCTGGAGGCAGTGGGATGGACAGAGTACCCAGTCTATGCTGCTCCTCCATGCTGTCTGCCAGAGGTAACTTGCTTTTGGAGATCTTCAGCCTCATGGCTTTTGCTATCTCAATCATCCTAAGGAAAAAACAAACAGAACGAACGTAGAGAGGGACTCCTCAGTGTGCTGTAGCTTGGCAGGAGGGCCACACATTTGTGCTCCAGGTTATGAAAACAGAATCCCGGAAGTGGCCAGCCAGAGCAAAGCCTCTGCAAAGGGACATACAAGATGGCCCTGTGCACCCCCCTCCCCTAGGGCATTCAACAATTCCATTTAAATGCGCTGATGTTGGGAAATATCCATGCAGTGACAGAAACCAGGTTCTCGAGATTTCTAGTAGTAACTATCTTTACCATCTATAACCATATGATAAAAACAACAAGGATTCAGTCATTGCTAGAGTATGACTGGCTGGTGGCTGTTCACTTGGATTTTCCACCTCACTGTCAGTCCCTGGAACAGTCCCACTGAGAACAGTGGGAGTGCACACAGAAGTGTTATCCTGGCTCTTTTGGAACACAATCTATGACTTTGGGTGTCAGATGCCCCTCAGTTACCCTCTGAATTTCCCCCTGACAGGTCACCTCTCCAGCTCTTCTCATCCCATCGGTGAAGTTCAAATGTGTCCTTGACAATCAGTTCTACCCTGCCTTGAACACCTCAAGTCCCTTCTCTCTGAGAGAGCTCTGCTGGCTTAAACCAAAGGTAGGCTCACTTGCACTCCTAGGTATACTTCGAGAACCACAGAGAATCTCCTTCCACAGTGACAATTCAGAGATCAGGAGGGTCTCAGTTATTCAAGAACAGAATACTCTACAAAGGCTGATTGAAGCCTGACTCTCCTGTGTTTGTGAGACTTGGGAAGGACATTACTTTTTGGAACAGAGAAATAAATGAGATGAGTGACTAGTGCTGTGCCATAAAGACACTTAAAATGTCTAGCCACTCATTCATTCATACATACATAGCAAATTGTCATTTGTCTCAAGTTTTTCCCATATGACCCCACCGCACTATTCCCAGTCCCTACCAGTGGTGCCAACAATACACTCTGCTGTGCTCACCTTTTCTTGTTGAGCCTTAAGTCCCTCTGTAACACTGTCAGGTCAATCTGGAAGTTGTTTATGTGCAAGGCAAGAATGATAACATATGCGGTGATCTTCGCCTTCATGGAATTTGAGATTAAATTCTGTAAACTGCAAAACCAGGCAGGGGCAATACAAAGAAAATTATGTTACAAAAGCAAAATAGGACCATGCAAAATAAGCCTGCTTCCACTGTGTTTAACATCTTCCCAAGCAACATGTCCTGTTTTCCTTCTATGGCCTGAGTCACAAGGAAGTCAAGCTAGGAAGTGGCACTGTGACTCAAGTGGTAGAGCACTAGCTTTGAGCACAAAGAGGCTCACGGAGAATGCCCAGACCCTGAGTTCAAGCCCCATAACTGACACGCACACAAAAAAAAGTCAAGCCAGCATTTCCCCACAGTGGGAGGGAGAAAGCTGTGTCCACTTTCCCTAGGTGATGTTGTAATGTCACACTGGTGAGTTTGTGTCTGTCTGCTCAGCAGAGGTAGAAGAAACAAGTCAGCCCAAACTCAGCTGCTGCTGCTTTCAAGTACACCCAGAAGCAGGAAACAAATGGCTACAAGGAAGGACCAGGGATGATTTGAGGGTCTTCCCCAAGTCACCACACTGGCACGCCCTTCCCCGCACACTGCCTTTCTATAGAGCACTAGTTCTGTGGGGCATCAAGAATGGCCCCTCAGAAGTATAGGAAGTGAAGTAAGTACCAGGCTTCCCTGACCTGAAGAGAAAGTGAGCTTTTCAAAGGGGACAGTAGACTAGACAGCAGAAGGCCACTAAATAGTGATCCCTACACTGCATCTCTGTGGGTGTGGAACTGAACCTGAGCCCAGCCCTCACTTGCTTTCTTTCTCCTTCACAGGCAACCCCCTCCCCCCCCCCCAACCCTTCCCCCACCCCTCCTAACAAAGCTCCTGACCTGCCATTGTTATAAGACAAGCAGGTGAACTGCTTTAGCAGTTTGGAGGAGATGATGTGGGGAATTCCAGGTCCCAGGAAACCTAGAATACAAATTACATTTGATTACTTTCTCAAAAGTCATCAGGTCCCGCCGGGCGCTGGTGGCTCATGCCTACAATCCTAGCTACTTAGGAGGCTGAGATCTGAGGATCATGGTTCAAAGCCAGCCCGGGCAGGAAAGTCTGTGAGACTCTTATCTCCAATAAACCACTCGAAAACTGGAAGTGGCGCTGTGGCTCAAGCAGTAGAGCGCTCGCCTTGAGCTGAAGAGCACAGGGATAGTACCCAAGCCCAGAGTTCAAGCCCCATGACAGACAAAAAAAAACAAAGAAAAAAAAAAGTCATCAGGTCCCTACCTCATCCATGAGCAGAGAGAAGCCAATGGCCGTAATGACCAGAACCATGTGGTTAGACAGGTGAGGGCTCAAGATTCAGAAGAACACTTTAAAAAATGCAAACATGGTCAAGGCTTTGGTGGCTCATGACTGTAATCCTAGCTATTCAGGAGACTAGACATCTCATGATCACAGGTCAAAGCTAGCCTGGACCAAAAAGTCTGAGAGATTCATTCTTCTTCTATTAATCAGCAAAAAGCCAGAGGTGGAATTGTGGCTCAAGTAATAGAGTGCCAGCCCTGAGTGAAAATGTCAACTAAGAACACAAGACCATGAGTTCAAACCCCAGTACAGGCACCAAAAGGTAAGTAAATAAAAATAAAACACCAAATAGGCCCAGGCAGGAAAGTCTGTGAGACTCTTATCTCAACCACCAGAAAACCAGAAGTGGTGCTGTGGCTCAAGAAGTAGAGCTCTATCCTTGAATGAAAAAGACAAGTGAAAAAGCTCAAGGCCCTGAGATCAAGCCTCAGTACCAGCACAAAAGGGGGGGGGGGGGGGGGGGAGGTGCAGAGGGGAGCCAGGCAGACCCAGAAGAGGAATCTGGCAAATCCCCCAGCACAGCTGCTGCACAGCAAGACTTGGACACATATATCCCACTTTCTTCCCTTTTAAGAACTAGAGACAAATAAGGAGGAAACAACCTAAACAGAACATCTTGGGCTTACTTTTCCGCTTTATTACTTTCTGAGTTCGAAACTTGAGGAGGGTATCTAGGAACCATATGCATCGGGCCTGGCGATCTCGGCTCTCTTCATTTGCTGGCAAAGCCTTCAGCGCTTCTATGACAAAGGTGCAGTGGCTGAGAGGAAAAAGAGTAAGTGTCAGGGTACGTGGGCTCACACTCCTCCAATGAGAACAGAGGCATCCCACCCCATACACATGTCAGCTGATGAAGGGCCACCCACACAACAGTCCTTACAACACTAGGGCCACAGTTCAGTGTGGGGGCTGTAGAGGGCCAGATAGTATTTAGGCTCCATAGGCCATACAGTCCCTGCTACAATGACTCAATTCTGTGTTGCAGTGCAAAAGCAGCCACACACATATTACTTACATGCACAAACAAGGCTATGCTTAAATAAAATTTGACTTAAAAACTTTGGTCACAGGCAGCAGGCCAGACTTAGCACGTGAGCTCATTTACTGACCTCTGCAGTAGAGGAAAACAGTCTCTAAAAGTCAGACTATGTGGATTTGAATCCCCTCTCTGCCACTTAATGGTTAGGACAACCTCCTTTACAACTCTATACCCTGGTTTCATCTATAAATTGGGGCCAGTAAGCATTTTTTACAGGCTCACACCTGTAATCCTAGCTACACAGGAGGCTAAGATCTGCAGGATGAAAGTTCAAAGCCAGCCCAAGGCAGAAAAGTCCTAGATTTCATCTCCAATTAACTACCAAAAAACTGGAAGTGGAGCTATGGCTCAAGTGAGAGAGTGCCAGCAAACAGACTGAGTAATCTCAAAGCCCTGAGTTCAAACTCTAGGATTAGTCCTCCTTCTCCCCCCACAAAAAAAGATACTGAAAGATTGAAAGTAAAGCATCTGGAATAGTGCAAGTGAGGGCACAGAGTGACAGCTCAGTCTGTGTTGGCTATTACTATTTTTTTGTGTGTTGGACTAGTGCTAAAACTCAGGGCCTCAGCATTGTCCCTTAGCTTTTTTGCTCAAGGATGGCACTCTACCATTTAAGCCACAGGTCCACTTCTGCTAGTTGCTAGTTAACTAGAAATAAGACCTTTGGCTTTGAATGGAGATCCTCAGGTCTCAGCTTCCTGAGCAGCTAGGTTTACAGGTGTGAGCCACCAGTGCTTGGTGATATATATTTATTTTATATCACTGTGGGGCTTGAACTCTGTCCCTGTGCTTTTCAGCTCAAGGTGAGTGTTCTACCGCTTGAGCCACAGCGCAACTTCCGGTTTTGTTCTATTGGTTTATTGGAGATAAGAGTCTCTTGGACTTTCCTGCCCAGGCTAGCTTTGAAGCACGATCCTCAGATCTCAGCCTCTGAGTAGCTAGGATTACAGGTGTGAGCCACCGACACTCAGTTTGGTGTTATTATATATACTGTTCTCTACCATCAGGTCCTGGACTCAAGAGATAAAATGTCTCTGCAAGATTATCTTATAGGCTGGGTATGCAGCTTAGTGGTATAGTGCTTGCCTAGCATGCAAGAGGCCCTTGCGATTAACCCCTAGCCACACAAGAAAAAAAAATCTGTTAATGAGCTCATTTTACAGGCAGGAAAACTGAGGCCCCGATGGGGAACAGTACACAGTACACCAGGGCAGAGCTTGAGGACTCAGTTCTGAGATGCCCAACCCAGAGCTCATTCCTGTACTTTAACCTAAGTCAACAGCTACACTAAACAAGGCCCAGCTGTGAACTCCATTTTATAGCAGAAAGAAGGAAAGGGGGGAGAGGAGGATGAAGGGAAGGGGGGGAGGGGAGGGGAGATAGAAGGAGCAAGGGTGAGAGAGAGAGAAGAAAGGAAGAAAGGATGGAAGGAAGGAAGGAAGGAAGGTTGTTTTTTTTTTTTGTTTTGTTTTTTGGTCAATTGTGGGGCTTGAACTCTGGGCCTGGGGGCTGTCTCTCAGCTCTTCAGCTCAAGGCTAGCGTTCTACCACTTGAGCCCCATCGCCACTTCTGCTTTTCTGCTTAGGTGGTGCTGAGGAATCGAACCCAGGGCCTCATGCATGCAAGGCAAGCACTCTACCATTGAGCCACCTTCCCAGCCCAGAAAGATTTTATTTTTAGAAAGATTTTGTTAAGACTTTAGATATCACTGATCAGTAACTTTCAAGACAAAAACTGAGGCGCCCATCTAGGGTTGATCATTTTTTATCCCAAATGGACTTACTAAAAACAAAAGCAAAAACAAAATTCAGAAGCAAAAAAGAAAAAGCCCATCATCATTTGAGTTTTAGAGGGTTTAGTGGCAAAAAAATAATTAGAGTTGGGAGCTGGTGGCTCACGCCTGTAATCCTAGATACTCAGGAGGCTAAGATTTGAGAATTCAAATTGTGGTTCAAAGCTAGCCTGGCCTGGAAAATCTGTGAGACTCTAATCTCCAATGAACTACTCAAGAAAAGCAGGAAGTAGTGCTATGGCTCAAGTAGTAGAGCACTAGCCTTGAGCAAAAGCAGCTCAGGGGCAGGGCCCAGGCCCAGAGTGGGGGTGGGAGGGGTAAATGAGGGCAGAAGGGAATCATCTGTGATTTTGTATGTGTGTGTTTGTATACTCACATGCACCAGTTTTTTTTTTTTTTTCCTCAAGGATAGTGCTCTATTGCCTGAGTCAAAGCTCCACTTCCAGCTTTTTGGTGATTAATTGGATCTCATGACCTTCCTGCCTGGGCTGACTTTGAACTGTGATCCTTACTCAGATCTCAGCTTTCTGAGTAGCTAGGATTATAGACATGAGCCACTGGTGTTCAGCTCTGAATTTTTTTTTTTTTTTTTGGGGTCCGGTCATGGGGCCTGAACTCTGGGCCTGAGCACTGTCCCTCAGCTCTTCAGCTCAAGGCTAGTGCCCTACCACTGGAGCCACAGCGCCACTTCCGGCTTTTTTCGCTTTGCTTATGTGGTGCTGAGGAATCTAACCCAGGGCCTCAGACATGCAAGGCAAGCGCTCTACCAATGAGCCACCTTCCCAGCCCCTCTGAATTTCTTAAAATACACAAATTACCTGAAAAGCTTGCCTAGCACACTGCTACAGAGAAGCAATCCCTGTGTCTGGCAGTCTTCCCAGGCCAGCATTCGGGCACTGCTGGTGAGCATCAGCATGGACAGGACACTGAGGTCAAGAGCTAACTCTGGTCCCAGCTCAACTACAGGACCTTTCTACCCTCTGCCCAGTTACAGGTTCCATGAACCCAGCCAACTCCCTCCCTTAAATCCACCCACAGCTCCTGAAAGTCCAGGGTCAAGAAAATACTGGCTTCTTCATTTTTAAGGGCTGAACAGAAGGCTAGGGTTGTAACTCAAGTGGCAGAGTACCTCCCTAACAAGCAGGAGGCCCTGAGTTCAAACCTTACTGCCTACCACCCAAGGTCCTACTTCACATTTGACTCCTATTTTCCAGCCTCCCTTCCCAGTGGCAGTCAGTGGCAGGTAGCCATCTGCTGAAATAGGAGTACCTGTTGTCTTCAATCATCTTCAGGATTTCCTCTGATGTGACTTTCCTGAAAGTTTCTGACGGGATCTTGAGAGCTTCATATTCCGCAGGGGACAGAACTAGTTGCAGGTCAAGAACATAATTCAAGCACAATGGAAATATCCAGCTAGCCAAACCTCACCTTGCGGTGGCCTTGTGGCAGACAGGAGAGCTAAGGCTCGCAGAGGAGAGGGAGCACAGTTCAGCAAGACAGAGCTCTGAGGCCCTAAGCCCCTAATAATTTTAGATCCTAGCCCAAAGCTCATTGCCTACCTAAACTGTTTTGCCTCTCCTTCCTTATCAGAGCCGCTGCTGGCATTTTCTATCCAACCAGACCTGTTAGGCATAAAGCTCTATGCTCCAATTCTTCAGCCTCCCCTAGACCTTGGGGCACTGGCTATGTCAGAAGTCTTATTTGATAATTTGTGGAGAGTGACCCTTCCAAGGCTAAGACACCCTCACTGGGCACATGGCTATGCACTGGCTTTGAATGCTAGGGGCATGTCCCTCAGCTGGTGAAGAGGTCTTGTTCACCCGCCTCCTGGCAACAGCCCCAAAAGGCTTACAAATTTCTATGATGGCCACAGGACACAGACCCCTCCCCCCCTTCACAGAGTCTGGCGGTGCTAACGATCACACCACAGCTTATGAATGAAGGCAGATTTTTCTGCACAAGGATACTGTCTTCAAATTTATACACGTCTTCAGGCTTGGTTGCATCCTCATGGCAGGGAGGAAGGTACACAGAGGTATCTTGTAAGTCATCCTGAATGGCATCACTAACAAGAGCTTCCGATAAAGAGAAGACTGTGTCAGTGTCATGGTGTGTTGTATCTGGTTTCCCAACATTCTTTGCAACCAAGGCAGTTAGATCACACATGGTTCAGAACCCCCTCAAGATTGAATACTTCTGCCAAGGGGACCTAAACTGCTAGTCAGGCCGACTGTTCTAAGACTACTAGGCACAGAAGGTAGGAGCATGCTTCTCCTTGGGAGCTTGCGATAAGAGTTGGGAGAGAGAGAGAGACGTGCTGATGATATTTACAGTATAACATCAGACAAGTTAAAAGTGAAAGATAGGGAACTGGGAAGTTGGCTCAGTGATAGAGTGCTTGCCTTGCATGCATGAGGCCCTGGATTTGATTCCTCAGCAACACATAAGCAGAAAAAGCTGGAAGTGGCACTGTGGCTCAAGTGGTAGAGCGCTAGCCTTGAGCTGAAGAGCTGAGGGACAGCGCCCAGGCCCAGAGTTCAGGCCCCACGACGCACCGAAAAAAAAGAAATAGTGAGAGATAGTCACTCAGTGATTGCCTAATATGTATGCAGCCCTGGGTTTGATCCCTAGCACCACAAAAAAAAAAAAAAAAAAATCAAGAGAGAGATGTTCAAAATAGCCTTTAAAGGTTTAACTTACAAGAGCCTTTGCACATATTCTGAGTCTTAAAAACACAAAAAAACTAGGGGCTGGGAAGGTGGCTCAGTGGTAGAGCGCTTGCCTTGCATGCCTGAGGCCTGGGTTTGATTCCTCAGCACTACATAAGCAAAAGAAAAAAGCCAGAAGTGGCGCTGTGGCTCAAGTGGTAGAGCGCTAGCCTTAGCTGAAGAGCTGAGGGACAGCGCCCAGGCCCAGAGTTCAGGCCCCATGACCAGACCCCCCCCCCCCCCAAAAAAAAAAGAAACACAACAAAACTATAATATTTTCTATAAGAAGAGCCAGGTAATAAGTATGAATATACACAGGATTGGAGAAGAAAAAAGGAAAGTTCCAATGTTGATTGGTGATATAGCTCAATTAATTTTCTTTTGGGGAGAGGAGGTGGAAGAGTGCTGAAGATCCAACCCAGGGCCTTGTGCAGTATAGGTGAGCACTCTACCAATCAGTTACATCCATAGCCTTTATCTATCTTTTAGTCCCTAAGAGTAAACTCAACAAAGAGTTTTAAATTTTCTTAGGCATGAAGTATGTGTTTGGCTTCATGTGATGGCACATACCAACAACACTAGTACTCAGCGAGGCTGAGGCAAGAGGATGGAGTCTAAGGCTAGGCTGGGTTACATAATGACACCTTGTCTCAAGAAGAAAAATGTCTAAACAAATAGGAAGACATATCTCTATGTTCCCAGAGAGAAACACACAACATTGTAAAGATACAGGTTCTCCCCAAACTAATCCCAAGTTTTCCCCCCTGTACTAAGGTTTGAATTCAGAGCCTTGTACTCTGGCTCAGATTGCTTGCCTGGCCCTGTACCACTTAAGCTACACCTCCAGCCCACTGTTAGCTGATTAATTAAAGATGGGGTATCACGAACTTTTTCTACTTAGGCCAGCTTCGAACCTTGATCCTCCAGATCTCAGCTAGTAGTACAGATAGGAGCCACCAGCACCTTACTTTTAATAGATTTTTGAGAGAAATTGGATAAACTAATTATTCACATAATTATTCTGTACCCATCCACCCCCCACAAAACTATCAAAGTATTAAAAGACCCAACAGGAATAATATAGTAATCAGAAATGGAAAGATTTCCTTAAAATTTCTAGAATTCCATTCTTAATAGATGAACTTTTCCTAATGGTTTTATAATATGTTTGATTTAAAGCACATTTAAACAACACAATTAAGTACTCAAGCTGCTGAGAACCAAGAAAATATCTACCAGCCCCAAAAGTGAAGTGCCACCTCTGGGGGCTCACTCAGGTCCATTACTATCAGGGCAATCTTTTCTGACCAAAGCCTCTTTGGACTGAGAGACACGTGAGGCCTTCTGTGACCTGTGACTGTAACCCTGCACTGAGAACAGGTTTGTACATATCTGTTCCCATGCCTGTCTCCCCATCTTGATGATAAAGCCACTGATGGCAGGACCCTATTGGATATTTCTTATGCTTCTGCGAGAAGGTCTTAAACTCCTGGGCTCAACTGATCCTCCTGCCTCGGGCAGTTACAGGCAGCTATAACTCCCATCATTTCCAACTGTGAAATAGGAAAAAAAAAATCTCAAGGGAAGACAAAGCTGTTTTTCCTAGGCACATTCTTACCCCAAGTTCCAGCTGCTTACCATCCACACCCTTTGTATCAATGATGTTCTCTGCAGCTTTAGCTACTGCACGATTCAAAGATTCACTACCAACTTTGTTCATTCTCCTAGAGTTTAGAGATCGCTTCTGTTTGGTGGTTCCAAAGGCTTCAATGCAAGAATCCATCTGTGTAAGGCACAAACCTGGTTACAGTCACTGAGGCCATCACCTCTCCTGTCCATCAGACACGGCACGCAAGTCTACCTCATAGCACAGGTGATGGCAGTAACAGATTTGATGAACTTACTTTATAGACAGTATCAACAACTTTTCCAGCAGTAAAGGAGAAGAACTGACTACAATTAGGGTTAGTAAATCTGTGGCACATAACTTACCATCCTGTGCCTATACCTGTACTCTTCCCATCCTATACTTGAAACAGATTATTGCCAATAGATACTGGCTTTCCCTCGGAGCCAGAACACCCTCACACCCCTCTCTACCATGGTGCCTGAGGCAGCAATGAATGAAGAGTTAACCAATTTGTCATCCTGGGGTGAGATGACCATTGTGAAGAACCTTCTACATACAGTATAGTTTGTTTTAATATGCAAGCTTCCAGACAAAACCAGTATTTCCTGAAATTTGGACCAAATCCTAAAAACCAGTAGACTACATCTCCAGCAGCCAAGAGGATAGGTTCCAGACACTGACACACAGCTGCGTTTGGCTGCCCAGGAGCACCAGGGCTGCTCTCTGCCCTCTCCAGAGACCCCTGCAAGTCGGCACTGTCCACGGTCACACACTTAAGCCAGAACAGCTAGGGAGACCTGGGTTCAACACACATCTTAATTCTGTCACACTCACCTTTTCTCTGAAACTTCTGGTCTGACTCTCCAGAGCTGGTACACTCTCAAATGATTCATCTATAGAAACACAGAACACAAAAACAAAGAGAAAAAAATAGCAAAAGTTTGTAAAGCCTACATTTTTTTTCTTTTTTTGAAATGGGGGTCTCACTGTTGTCCAGGCCAGTTTTGAAGACCTGGGCTCAACTAATCCTCTTGCCTCTACCTCTTAAGTAGCTGGGACTATGCCCAGCTCTGTAAGGTCTGTAAATGTTATTAACAGTGCTTAACATTCCATCTGTTTTAACAGCTAGTCTAAGAAAAACCAATTTCTTTATTCCAGGACTTCCCTGAGCCTAAGGTAAGTAAATATACACTCTGAATTTACCAAGGCATTATCTACTCCCCAGAAGGAAGCAGACTGGGCTTTCCTGACTGGGCTAACTTCAAACTTGATTCTCAAGTCTTGGTCTCCTAAGGTTTACAGGTGTGTCACCAGTGTCCAGCTTCTCTGTTGTTTCTGTATATAAATATATGAAACCCACTTCCTACATTTCAAAGCAGAGAATTATTAACTTTGAGCCTACACACCCCTTGGAAATTTACAGTTGGGCATCAAGACTCAAGAGCTCTCTAAATATACATGTAAAGTCTCTCTCTCTTTTTTGCCAGTCCTGGGGCTTGAACTTGGGGTCTGGAAGCTGTCTTCTTGTGTTCAAGGCTAGTGCTCTACCACTTGAGCCACAGTGCCACATCTAGCTTTTTCTAAATAGTTTATTGGAGATAAGAGTAAGTCCTGGGGCTGGGAAGGTGGCTCAGTGGTAGAGCGCTTGCCTTGCATGCTCGAGGCCCTGGGTTCGATTCCTCAGCACCACATAAGCAAAAAGAAAAAAGCCGGAAGTGGCGCTGTGGCTCAAGTGGTAGAGCGCTAGCCTTGAGCTGAATCGCTGAGGGACAGCGCACAGGCCCAGAGTTCAGGCCCCACGACCGGATCCAAAAAAATTAAAAATAAATAAATAAAAAATAAACAAAACAAAAAAAGAGTAAGTCCCATGGACCTTCCTGCCTGGACTGGCTTTAAACCATGATCCTCAGATCTCAGCCTCCTGAGCAGTTAGGATTACAGGTGTGAGTCACTGGTACCTGGCTTAAAAAAAAAATTTTTTTTTTTTTTTGGGGGGGGGGCCTTCACTGGGCTTGAACTCTAGGCCTGAGCACTATCCCTGAGCTTCTTTTGCTTAAGGCTAGTGCTCTACCACTTGAGCCACAGCAATACTTCCAGCTATTTTGAGTAGCTTATTGGAGCTAAGAGTTTCACAGACTTTCATATGTGGGCTGGCTTCAAACCACAAACCTCAGATTTCCTGAGTAGCTAGTATACAGCCATAAGCCACTGGCACACAGCTTTAATATTTATTTTTATATGACATGTATACTGTTTTCTTTTTGTTGTTTTTGGTTGGTTGTGGGGCTTGAACTCTGGGCTTGGGCACTGTCCTTGTGCTCTATCTCTTGAGCCACAGCACCACTTCCAGTTTTCTAGTGGTTTATTGGAGATAAGAGTCTCACAGACTTTCCTGCTAGGGTTGGCTTTGAACTGTGATCCTCAGATCTCAGCCTCCTGAGTAGCTAGGATTACAGGATTGAGCCACCAGCGCCCAGCTATGTATACTGTTTTGGTGAAGTATGTCCAAGCTTTGATCAGATTCTCAAAAAGTATGGAAATCACTGCTTAGAGAGAATGAAGTCTGAACTGATGTCTCTAAACGTACAAAGCAGATTCGCAGCAATCATCGTGAACTTTCCTCCTCTCACATCCTACCTGCTAAGGTTCTCAATGGCTGAGGGCATCATTAAGGGTTTGAGTTTAGAGATTTAGAAAACAGGAGCCCCTTGAATATGACCCTCACACTTAAACCATTTTTAGAAGATTTCTAGTCCTCAGCATTTTAGGATAACAAAACAAAAACAATATAACCTTTTCCAATGGATTAGAGAAAATATAGATCCTTCCCCAAATTAGACACAACTTCTCACCAACCATTTCTTTAACCTAGGAGAGATTCTAAAACTTCTACCAATAAAACAGTTAAAGATTAAGGAAGGCTGCCGGGCCATCAGTGGCTCATGCCTGTAATCCTAGCTGCTCAGGAGGCTGAGATCTAAGGATTGCGGTTCAAAGCCAGCCTAGGCAATAAAGACTGTGAGACTCTTATCTCCAATAAACCACCAGAAAACCTGAAGTGGCACTGTGGTTCAAGTGGTAGAGCCCTAGCCTTGAGCTGAAGAACTGAGGGACAGTGCTCAGGCTCAGAGTTCAAGCCCCATGACTGACAATAAATAAATAAATAAAATTAAGGAAGGCTTTTGAGGGCAGATATATGGTGGCTCAGAGATGGAGATTGGGAGGATTGTGGTTTGGGATTACATTTCCACATATAAACTGGGCACAGTAGAAAACCACTGTGAAAGGTGTAAATAGGATCTCCAGTTCAGTCTAAGCAAAACTGCAGGAACTTATTCAACAAATAATTAAAGCAGAAAGGGATGGGGAATGGCTCAAGTGGTAGAGACCCTGCCTAACCAGTGCAAGGTCCTAAGTTCAAACTGCAGCAGCTCCCCTTCCCCCACAAAAAAAGGCCTTTGATGGAAAAGAATTTATGAAACATGCCCTCTAACATTCTGCACAGATCACTGCTCAACTTGCTGGAAAGGCTGGTTTCTGATCCCACATCTACAAACACTGTGAGGACAGGATCTGTTTCAATCTTGCTTACTTTTCATTCACAGCCCCTAGCGCTTGGTGCCAGGACATAGAAGAGCATCAATAAATGCTTGCTGAATTTAAAAAGTCTAAAATTTAAAAAAAAAAAAACTTGCCAAAAGATAATACTCACAAAATGTGTTTTAGAAATCAAAAACTCAGGTGAACTTATCCAGCATCCCAAACTATGCAATATGACTGTGAGTCTTCGAACATACCTTCAAAAAGCGGCTGCATGTTGAACAACTCAGCATCATAGACTTCCATTTGGCCAGAGGTCTTATTCAAAATTCCCACAAAGTGTCTAAATAAAAAAATTTTTAAAAAGGAATAATTCCACAAGAGATTATTGAAAACATATTGTTTTCACATCTTCTTTTTTCCTGTTTACCTTCTTTCTGCCCCAATACACCTGAAGAATGCATCAACTTGTTTGTAAATAACAATAACTCTCTTAATCAGTTCTCTGCCTGTCTACATTTTATCAGTCCCAGAGTTACACACTGTTCAGAATGTACAGTCTTCATGGTCAGAGGAAACCAGGTCAGTGAAGAGTAGAGCTGCCCTAAGTGGTAATTATCAGTGACACTGCTAGATACAAACTTTAGAATCCTCTTCCCTAACCTAGAACCTTTGATGCTACCAACTCCTTTTCTTTCTTTCTGTTTTTTTTTGTTTTTTGTTTTGTTTTTGTCGGTCATGGGGCTCGAACTCTGGGCTTGGGTACTGTCCTTGCGCTCTTCAGCTCAAGGCGAGCTCTTCAGCTCAAGGCGAGCTCTTCAGCTCAAGGCGAGCGCTCTACTGCTTGAGCCACAGCGCCAGTTCCGGTTTTCAAGTGGTTTATTGGAGATAAGAGTCTCATGGACTTTCCTGCCCCGGCTAGCTAGCTTTGAACCACGATGCTCAGACCTCAGCCTCCTGAGTAGCTAGGATTACAGAGGTGAGCCACTGGCTCCTGGCTCCAACTCCTTTTCTTATAGCTGGTGCCAAGGCAAACTTTAAGAAAGCTTTAACCAATTAGATTGTATATTTCAAATTAGTGGAGAAAGTTGTTTTTGGGAATAAGCTATAAATAAATAATGGAGGCTGGGTGCTGGTAGCTCACGCCTATAATCCTAGCTGCTCAGGAGGCTGAGATGTGAGGATCACCATTCAAAGCCAGCCAGGGCAGAAAAGTCCCTGTGAGACTCTTATCTCTAATAAACAACTCAAAAAAGCTGGAAGCAGGCTGGGAAGTGGCTCAGTGGTAGAGTGCTTGCCTTGCATGCATGAGACCCTGGGTTCGATTCCTTAGCACCACATAAGCAGAAAAAGCCAGAAGTGGCACTGTGGCTCAAGTGATAGAGTGCTAGCCTTGAGCTAAAGAGCTAAGGGACAATGCCCAGGCTGAGTTCAGGCCCCACGACCAACAACAATAACAAAAAAAGCTGGAAGTGGCGCTGTAACTAAAGTGATAGAGGATTAGCCTTGAACACAAAAGCTCAAGGACAGTGCCCAGATTCTGAGTTCAAGCCCTAGGACTGGCAAAAGTAAAAAAACAAATGAATAATGTTACAAATAAATGAGGTCATGAGAAAATTCAGTAAGTAAAACTTTCTAGGCACGTTCACAAGCTGGTCAAAAAGCCTCTGTGTCTAGAAACACAGGGACTTGGTAAACCTCCCTAGACTTCTCCAACTGCCCCTAACTGAAAACAGTTATGTCAATGCCTCCATTATTACCCCTCCCATCACTCTTTTCATGGCCCTTCCCCTACCATTACCTGCACAGAGTGTTGCATTTGAGGGCTCCTGTCCCAAAATTGTTTCCAACGTAGGAAAGTCTATCTGTTTCAGCTGCCTAAAATGCAGAGGGAGGACAATGCCATTTACAACCAATGTTGAAAAGTACTCCTTTGTCCATCTGCAGAAGCTTTAGGACCACAGTGGATTAGCACTAGACAGTCTCAGGGAGGTATCTCTGGGGAAAGGCAAGAGAATCTGTGAAAGGGAAGTCCTACAGAGTGATCACTTCTAACTGGCATGCAAAGTTCTTGGGGGATAGGGGTGGGGAAGGCTGCACCACAGGACTGGATAGAGGCCTTGCATTCTCAGCACTTACAGGTATGCAACAAAGAAACTCTGCAGGCAATATTCTTGGCTCAAAGTCCAAGCCCTTCTTGATCTCACCCATGGCTGCTCTTCATACATCCACAGGACCAGTGAAAATGACAGACTCACTGCCCAACCACAGCTGAGCTTACATTTTCCCTTATATTTGTCCTTACTATCTTTACTTAAAACATCAAACCTCATTTCTTAAACCCTGTCCCATCCTTCAGGGCTCAGCTCCAATGTATCTTCTCCTAGGCAGGTTTTCTGGCAACCAGAGATTTTCCTTCCAACTGAGCTCATTTGCTGCTGCACTCTTATCTCCTAGGACCCTGGGCTTTGTGTATTGTATGAGTGTCACTTGCAGCCAGTATGCACCTCTCAAAAGCAAGAGTTCTCAAATCCATGAAAATCCACTCCAGTGCTACTGGAATCTAGTGGCTAGAGACCAAAACTGCTACTAAACATCCTAGATTGCACAGGCCTGCCATCTACAGTAATGAGTTATCCAACTAAAAACATCAATAGTGTCCAGGCTAATAAACCCCACTCTACAGTAGAAGTTCCCAGAGCCAGGCCAGGTCTCATTTGTTCCTCTAGCAGCCTCCTGCAGAGGTATACAGTGGTTCTTCAATAAATGCATGGTGAAAAATGAATGAGAAAGTCATCACTACACCAGGAATCCTGAACCACAAAGAGGCCTATCCCCACATTCCAAACTGCTGCTCTTCAAAGTCCCTTTAAGCTACTCACGTTCTCCCACATCTATCCACACCCAGGGGCCTAAGGAGTGAGGGCAACCTGTAAGTGCAATAGCACTTACCAGAATCCGCTGATTCTTCTTTCTGGGGTTTTCGGAATCGTTGTTGTTGTACAAGGTAAAGCGCATGTTGCCTGGGTTCTGCAGCTTCCCATTGGAGAACCGGACTGGAAGAGTGCGGCCGGACAGTGAAATGAGAGAGGATGAAGCCAGAGAGCACAGGGGGTAACTTGACTATCATTGCTTAGGCTGGAAAGGTAAGGAGCTCGGGTCCTGACGTCTAGTTCCGTTGGGAAGACAGGGTGGGGGTTGGAGGGATTCGGGGGAAGAGCTGGTCTAAACAAATGAAGAGATCTGGTCTAGGTCTAAGGAGGCAGAGGAAATCTGCTTAGTGGGAAGAGAGAAATGGGCAGGTGGGGGAGACCTGGGCCCAGCTTGGAGGAGGGGATGAGGGGATGGCTGGGATGTCCTTGGGCAGCTGGGAGGTAGCGACAGAAAGACGGCGAGATGACCGGGGGAGGGGGGGGGGGGAGGGCCCACCTCAGGCTGGGACTGAAGGGTGAGGGTGGCATGGGGGGTGGAGGGGTCCTGGCCTAGATTGGGCCGCAGAAGGCAGCTGTCCCCGGGCGGGAGAAATGCCGAGGTGCCCAGCAGATCAAGAGGAAAAGGGTTTCGGGGAACTCTGCACCCGCTCCGCAATCTTTACCCAGTACAGCTTTACGTCTCGCTTCGGGCTCTCCACAGTACTGCCACCTCGCAGTTGGCAACACCTCCGCCGTCATCTCACCGGTCCGGCCGCCAAGCTGGGAGAGAGGAGGGAAGACTCCAGAGCCTTGGCTGGCACGCGAGAACCCGGCGAGAACTACCGGCCGGAAGTGACAAGGCCTCCCCACCACCACCCCGGCCCCGCCCAGGACACGTGAAGCGCAGGCCCCGCCCCCTACGCGCGAAGGCACGCTTTCCACGCCCACTTCCCCGCCCACCTGCTCAGTTCGGCCGGTGAGGGCTCCGCCCACACGTCGCCACACCCCCTCCTCGACCCGCCCCCCGCGAGGCGCATCACCTGATTGGCCCAGCGCTTAGCCTTGGCCCCCAGTGTAGAAACAAGCTCTAAGTTTGGTGTGGTCGTGTTTAGCCCATTTTAAATGGAGCATCATCTTTCAGTATTCACAAGTTCTGAAAAAAGCAAAGTCAAAATTTAGAATCCTCTGCCAGGAACTCCTCGAAGTCCAAGAGAAGGTGGCAGCTGGAGATCCGCTTCTCCGCAGAGTTCTACTTCCAGGCTTTGTCTGGACCCGTGCACAGTTCTTGGTTGTGCACGCATCTGTGGTCTAGTCAACGTTGGGAAGATGGACCACTGGGAGAGGCTTGCCAAGCATGATCAGGGACTTCTGAAGTGGGCTACAAGGAAGAAATCCTAGATGATGGACTCAGCAATTCTTTTTCTTCATGGGGAGTTATCAGAGTGAGGGAGCGCAAAGCAAGGGTCTGTGAGTATGGATGCAAGCCGGAGCCCAGTTAGCCAAGATTCATCTCCGTTCTCCAAGTTGCTGCTTTTCAAGACTCCATCCTTCAATCTCAATACCCAGCAGGCTGAGTATCTGAGGATCGCAGTTCAAAGCCAGCTGGGGAAGGAAAGTCCGTGAGACTCTTATCTCCAATAAACCACCAGAAAACCGGAGGTGGCGCTGTGGCTCAAGTGATAGAGCGCTAGCCTTGAGCTGAATTGTTGAGGGACAGTGCCCAAGCCCAGAGTTCAAGCCCTATGAACAAAATACCACCAACAACGAAACTACAACCATTAGAATATTGAAATTAACATTGATAGACTACTTGCCTAGCATGTGCAAGTTCCTGAGTTTGATCTCCAGCACGAAGGGGGCGGGGAGATTGTGTGTTGAATTTAGCTGTCATAATACTTTGATTGGAAAGCTACCTTGTTTGGCTCCAACTAGTGGCTTTTACTGAAATGTTTAGAAAAGGAAAAGGGCTTGTCTAATTACATATTATTTGCTTCTCACATTGATATTTCCCTCCCTAAACTTACTTGAGATTAACAGTAGTTTTAGAATTAAACTACAGACATGGAAACAACAGCATCAATATTACCTGAGAAGTTATGTGGTATCTCCAGACCTATCAAATTGGGGTTCTTAGTGATTTAGGTGAACTTGGACCTTGAGAAGTTCTGTTGTGCCTACATGATTTCCTCTTAAGGCATGTCTTTGTCATACATAATCCCTGAAAGTTCTCTGGACTAGCTGCTTTGTAGCTGAAGGGAAGAATGAAGAGTACCAAATATCTGTGGAGAGTAAGAATCCCAGAATCACCACAGGCAAGGATTCCAAGTGATGGAGATTCTATCTAGGGAAGGAAGTATTAATGCAGAGACAGCTGGAAGAAGGTTATAATATAAATCAACGTTGTAGAATTATTTAACAGTGATTTGAAACACCCCCACAGTGTACATATACATTCATGAGCATGTAACTGATGGTACAAGATGGAAGGAGCCTTAGTCACTCAAAGGCAAAAATCCACAGTGGCTTCTTCTGGATAATCGCAGGCATAATTTACCATAAAACTTTTACTTCTCGGGCTAGGAAGGTGGCTCAGTGGTAGAGTGCTTGCCTTGCATGCATGAGGCCCTGGATTCGATTCCTCGGTACCACATAAGCAGAAAAAGCCGGAAGTGTTGCTGTGACTCAAGTGGTAGAGTGCTAGCCTTGAGCTGAAGAGCTAGGGACAGTGCCCAGGCCCAGAGTTCAGGCCTCACGACCGACAAAAAAAAAAAAAATCAAAGAAATCCTGAGTTATTTTAGCATCATTTTTTCCAAGAAGGAAATCAAGTAGGGGGAAGGGAAAAAGCTACAAAATCTTTCCTCTTCTGGGGTAATATTGCCATCTGCTGGTGATTTAGAATATTGCTAATGAAGACTCGAATGAAATCAACCCAGAGTGGTGAGCTTCACCCTACATTCCGGTAACTGCTTCTTCCCCTCCCTTCTCTGGTTATTTGTTGTGCCCCCTCTCTGCCTCTCCCTATGCCTCTCCTCTGCCTCATCCTTCTATTCTCTCCTCTTTCATTCCCATTCTGTTCCTTCATAGTACAGATACAGGTGGCATGAATACCTAGAGACATCAGAACACAACCAGCTCCTTGCTCTCCAAATTGTTCTTGTGCGTCCTACTGATCCACCCTTCTCCTGCCACCACAACTACTTCTGGCCTCTCAGCTGTGCTGCACACACCAAAAATTTTAGGTCCTAGTCGCTGGATACATACCAAGAGATCTGGGTCTGTCTCTCATGATGGTCCTAGATGGGTCAATATTTTAGCTGAGGTGAGTGACACAAAACAAAGGTGACTCATTACATTCCTTGTTTTGCAGTCTAAGACTCTCCATTTCTAAAGGATCTATACTCTGTAGTTTTGGGGAAGGTTAGCAATAAAATTCTTGATTAAAAAAAAAAAGACACAGCACCACTTCCAGTTCGGAAGTGGTACTGTAGCTCAAGTGGTAAAGCGCTCGCCTTGAGCTGAAGACCTGAGGGACAGCGCCCAGGCCCAGAGTTCAAGCCCCACAACCAACCAAAAAAAAAATTATTGATTTTTTGCCAAACAATGGAGCACCCAAATTTATCCAAGAAACACTACTTTCCCTCAAATCCCACATAGATCCAAAGACATTAATTGTTGGGGATTTTAACACACCACTCTCCCCACTAGATAGATCAACTCAGCAAAAACTCAACAGAGAAACCACAGATCTAAACAGCTGCATAGATCAACTAGATTTAACAGACATCTACCGAACATTTCACCCAGCAGCATCAGAATACACGTTTTTCTCAGCAGCACATGGAAAGTTTCTAAAATAGACCACATTTTAGGCCACAAAGCAAACTTGTCTAAATTCAGAAACATTGAAGTTATACCTTGCATTCTCTCTGACCACAAGGGAATAAAATTAGAACTCAACACCAAAAGCCACCAAAGAAAGTCGGTAACACATGGAGGCTGAACAACACACTGCTGAATCACGAGTGGGTCATGGAAGAGATTAAAAGGAAATTCAAATGTTCATGCTATTCAACAAAAATGAACACACAAATTACCAGCTCCTCTGGGACACAGCAAAAGCAGTACTCAGAGGCAAGTTTATAGCTCTGAGCTCCTACATCAACAAATTGGAGAGATCTGAAACCAACAATTTAATGACACATCTAAACCTCCTTGAAAAAGAGCAGCAAGATAAACCCCAATCCAGTAGACGGAAAGAAATAATTAAAATTAAATCAGAATTAAATGAATTAGAATTCAAAAAAAACTATAGAAAGAATCAACAAAACAAAGAGTTGATTCTTCGAAAAAATTAACAAAATTGACAGACCCTTAGCAAATCTTATCAGAAAAAGAAGAGAACACACCCAAATAAATAAACTCAGAGATGAGAATGGAAACATCACCATGGAAACAACCAAGATTCAGAACATTATAAGGGAATTCTTCTCAAAACTTTATGCTAATAAGTTTGAGAACTTGACAGAAATGGACCTTTTCCTAGCAAATATTGACATGCCAAAACTAAACCAAGATGAGTTAAACCATCTTAACAGGCCCATATCAAGCATTGAAATAGAAACAGCAATAAGAGACCTCCCAGCTAAGAAAAGTCCAGGACCAGATGGTTTTACAGCGGAATTTTACAAGGCCTTCAAAGCAGAGCTCACATCAATACTCCTCCAACTCTTCAATGAAATTGAAAGAGAAAGTTCACTACCGAACACATCTATGAAGCCATCATAACCCTCATCCCAAAACCAGGCAGGGACTCATCAAAGAAAGAGAACTATAGACCCATATCTTTGATGAACATTGATGCAAAACTTCTCAACAAAATTTTGGCCAATCGACTTCAACAATTCATCCAAAAAATCATACGCCACGATCAAACAGGATTCATTTCAGGGATACAAAGCTGGTTCAATATACGCAAATCAATTAATATTATTCATCACATCAACAGGAGCAAGAATAAGAACCACATGGTTATCTCAATAGATGCAGAAAAAGCATTCGACAAGATCCAACACCCCTTTATGATGAAGGTTTTGGAAAAATTAGGAATCCATGGAACATTCTTCAATACAATAAAGGCTGCATATGACAAACCTACAGCCAGCATTATACTTAATGGTGAAAAACTAAAGCCATTTCCTCTTAACTCAGGAACAAGACAAGGATGTCCACTCTCTCCACTTCTCTTCAATCTAGTATTAGAATGCCTAGCTACAGCAATAAGACAAGATGCACACATAAAGGGGATCCAAATAGGGAAAGAAGAAATAAAACTCTCCCTCTTTGCAGATGACATGATCTTGTATTTAAAGAATCCCATAGACTCCACTCCCAAATTACTCAAACTGATTCAAAACTTTGGCAAAGTAGCAGGGTATAAAATTAACCCCCCAAAATCAATGGCTTTTCTGTATGCCAACAATGAGAAAAATGTGGCTGAAATTAGGAAAGCAACTCCATTTGTAATAGCCCCACAAAAAATAAAATACCTAGGAATTAACCAAAGAAGTGAAGGACCTATATGATGAAAACTTTAAAATCTTGAAAAAGGAAATCAAAACAGAACTTAGAAAATGGCAAAACCTCCCATGCTCCTGGATTGGAAAGATTAACATCGTGAAAATGGCAATACTTCCCAAGGCTATCTACAAATTCAACGCGATACTTATCAAAATTCCAACCTCATTCTTCAAGGAAATAGAAGAGGCAATCCAAAAATTCATATGGAACAATAAAAGACCCTGAATAGCAAAAATGCTCCTCAACGGAAAGAACACTGCTG